ACACGGTCCAGACTTTATTTTCGCTGTCTAGCGCTTCTTGGTATGAGCATTCGGCCAAGAAATCCGCTAGAGCTTGAGCCTTAATGGCAGCCCTCGGACGGTAGCTGATGCTGAATTCGGTGAGCTCAAAAGCCCACTTGGCTAGCCTACCAGATTTTTCAACCTTGCCGAGAACTTTTTCCAACGGCTGATCAGTTAAGACCACTATCTGATGGCAATCAAAATAGGGCCTCAGCTTCCGAGCAGCTACTACTACCGCGAAAGCGACTTTCTCGAGTAGAGGATAGCGAGTCTCGGCATCCGTTAGTGTATGACTAACAAAATAGATCGGTTGCTGACTTTTACTTTCTTCCTTCAGCAATACTGCGCTGATGGTGGCTGGGCTAACGACCACATACAGGTACAAAGTTTCTCCTTCAGCTGGGCTAGCCAGCGTTGGGAGTTGAGCCAGATGCTCCCGAAGCTGTTTAAAGGCGTCTTTTTGCCCTTCCTCCCAAACGAGCTCTTTTGTTTTCGGGAGTTTCAGGGCTTTGAAGAAAGGTAACCCCTTATCCGAAGCTCTGGAAATGAACCTCGAGAGGGCTGCCATTCTTCCGGTGAGCCGCTGAACATCCCGCTTTGTTTTCGGCTCAGGAAGGTCGAGCGCCGCTTTGACTTTGGAGGGATTGACATCAATCCCCCTTTTGCTGACTATGAACCCAAGGAATTTCCCTGACTTCACGCCGAAGACACACTTCTTCGGATTCAGCTTCATTTGATGCTTTCTTAAGGTGGCGAATGTTTCAGCCAGGTCCTTAACATGGTCCTCAGGTTTTTTGCTTTTGACGATCGAATCGTCGACATAGACTTCCATGTTTCGGCCCTTTTGATCGGCAAAAACTTGATCCACCAGCCTTTGATAGGTTGCCCCCGCATTTTTCAATCCGAAGGGCATCATTTTGTAATTGTACACCCCAGCGTTCGTGACGAATGTTGTCTTTGCTCGATCGTCGGGGTGCATGAAGATCTGATGATACCCCGAGAATGCGTCCATGTAACTAAGCAAGGCATGGCCACTTGTCGAATCGACTAGCTGATCGATCCTCGACAAGGGATAGAAATCCTTCGGACAAGCCTTATTTAGGTCCGTGAAGTCAACGCACATCCTCCAGGTACCATTGGGCTTCTGAACCATCACCACATTTGCCAGCCATTCTGGATATTGGCAAGGTTCGATGAATCCTGCCTCCAGCAATTTTTTGACCTCGGCTGCGATGTCTCGGTTCTTATTGGCGGAGTAATTCCGCTTCTTTTGCTTAACTGGTCGACACGTTGGGTCAACATTAAGCTTATGGGAGATGAGGTCTGAACTTATCCCGGGCATATCAGCTGCCGAGAAAGCAAACACATCTCTGTTGTCCCGAAGGAGTTGAATAAGTTCACAACGGGTGTTCGGATCAAGGTCCATCCCGATTGTTACACATTTCTCAACGTCTCCTTCGGCCAACTCAACTGTTTCAGTCTGTTGGTCCATGTCCATTGCTGATGGAATGGACTCTTCATAATCTGGCCTGCTGTCTATGTCAGCAGGTGTCCCAGTCTTTTTGTTCTTCGGCTGGCTCTCTGAGTCTTGTTGTTCAGTTGAAGAGCTAGCCTTTTCCCTTTTGGGCCCTTTACCTCTGGGTTCAGATCCTTGAGCCGAAGCACTTAGGCCTTTCGGCTTTTTGGTGCTTGGCTCTTTTTCTTTTTCTTTCTCCCCCCCATCCTTGTCGTCATCTGGGCGACTAGTGGATGGCTTGAGGTAGTTGCACCTTCGGGCGTCCTTTTGGTTGCCCTGTATCCTTTCGGGGAAGCCGGCGTCTGAGACGTAAATCATCAGCTGATGATAAGTTGAGACGACCCCTTGGATCTCATGAATTATGGGTCTCCCCAAAATCACGTTGTACACTGAAGGAGCGTCAATGACCAAAAATTCAATCATGACGTTCCTGGCTGCCTCATCGCAGCCGATGGTGATAGGAAGTGTCACCTTCCCATCTGGATAAGTTGAAGCCCCGTTGAACCCGGATACCGGGTAGGGTACCGGCGTAAGGTGCTTGGGCTTCAGCTTGATTTGATTGTAGGCCTTTCGGAACAGAATGTTTGCTCCGCTGCCACCGTCAACAAGGACCTTACTGACGTCGTGGTTGGCCACCGTGGCGATGATCACCAACGGATCCTCGTGAGGGAACGTTATCCCCCGGCAGTCGGCGGCTGTGAACGTCATGTTCGGCACCGGCGGCTGGGGAGATTGAATGTCAGCGTTGTTCACTTGGTGAGTCAAAGCTATAAGGTGTCGCTTGTGCTCCCTCCGAGAGTATATTCCTCCCGAGATAACATTGATCGGAGGGAATTTCCCCTCCGGCTTTTTACTGTTCTTCCGGGGGAATTCGAGGTCTTGCCGAGAGTCCTTTGCTGACTTCTCGGATTCTTTTTTCTCGCGGTGATCCGCGATGTATTTTTTCAAGTATCCCTTCTGGACCATGTCCTCTATCTGGTCCTTCAGTTGGATACACTCCTCAGTGTTGTGTCCCGAAGACTCGTGGAACTCGCACCACTGATTTTTATTTCTTCGCTGATACCACTCTGGGAGTGGTCTCGGCTTTCGGTAACTCTGCTCCTCCTTCGTCACGCTGTAAATTTTGGCACGTGGAAGAGAGATCGGAGTGTAGGATTCGTATCTGCCTGTGTATGAGGCAGATTTTTCCTTCTTTGGGTCGCTGGCCGAAGATTGCTCCGAGGCCTTTGACTTTCCCTTTGCCTTATGACCTTGGCCTTCAAACAAGGGTATTTGTTTTTGTTTCCCTCCCCCAAATTGAGGTTGGGTTTTCGCTTTGTTCCATTCTTCGGCTCGGATGAACTTATCCGAGGCATTCAGAGCTTCCTCCAAGGTCTGCGGAGTATGCATGACCATGAAGTCTAGGAACTTCCCAGGCTGAAGGCCATTCTGCATTGCAAAAACGGCTAGCCCCTGGTCCAGCTGAGAGACGCTGAATGACTCGTTACTGAAACGGGTCAGATAGTCTCGGAGGCTTTCGGTTTCCCCCTGTTGCAGACTCATGAGTTCCGCAGTAGTCTTCTCTCGGCGGTTTGCCGTGGAAAACTTGCTCCTAAATTTGGAGGACAGATCATCCCACCCTGTTATGGAGCCTTGCTTTACTCCCTTGGAGATCCACGCTTGCGCGACCCCCTTGAGAGTGGTTGGGAAATATTTGCACCAAGTCGCTTCGGATCTGGGGCAAAGATGCATATGAGTCTCATACGAGGCCACGTGATCCTTCGGATCCGAGGTCCCGTCATATGTGACGTGCGATGGTATTTTAACCGTGGGCACGTGCTCTTCCAGTATCCATTGCTCGAATGGCGAACTGGCGGGTAGCATAACGGCCTTGCCCTTGTTCCTGGCCGAAGGGACCGCGCTCCGCCCTCTTAGAGAGGTAGGAGTGGTTTTCGTCCCTAGCTGGGAAGTCTGGGCCTTGGCCGCAGGGAACGAGAGGCGACTGCGCACGCTCGGTTCCTTGCCGCCGAGTCGGTCGAGGACGTTTCGGCGAACAGTCTCAGGTTCTCGGTGAGTAGATTCTGGCCGAGAAGCTGAGCTGCTGCTCTTATGCGTTTCTGGTCGGGAGGATGAGGATCCTCTTAAAAATTGAGGGTTCTTTTTCCTCTCTTTTTCATTTTTCCAGGTATCCTCTTCCCACTCTTCCAAATCCCGGAAGGAAGGAAGCTTCCCACCATCATGGTCTAGCTTCCTCCGCTGATGCCGGGTATGCGGAGGAGTTCGATCACGAGGTGGAGGCATATTTTGTGCCCTCATCGCCTCCATGAGCACTGCCAGCGCTCTTGCCACCTCTTCCGAGCTGGGTCCCGTCAAAGGGGTCCTCGGCCGAGTATGGGAATGAGGGCGCACAGTCGATGGTTGGCTTTGGGGCACTGAATGTGTCCTATGATCGGACTCACCCCTGCTAGACCGAGAGTGACTCGGCCTATAATGAGAGTCATGAATTACGGGAGAAAGGGAATCCTCCTTGTATGATCCTCCCCCCGAGCTGGCACCCTTGGGAGAGTTCCGGTCCGGCGAAGGTGATGGTGTAGGGGTTTTAGGCTTTTCGCCCGCTCTTTGACGGAGGCCTTTGCTCTTGTGGTTCTTAGCCATTGCTACTAAGATAATTGCAAGATGATCTTGGTTAGAAATTTGGCTTAAAGATTTTGAAAGTCTTCCCCACAGACGGCGCCAAATTATTTCGGGTGAAAACAATGGGACCTTGCCGAAGGTCCGCTGAAACGGAGAAGACTAGATTCGGTCCAAGTAATGTTGGGCCGAAGGTTTCCTGCACAGTAAACACACGTAAACTAGCCTCGGGGGTGTTGCCGAGGAAGGCCCCTCCGATGCTAAAGTCAGTACAATGTGTAGAAAGAGAACACTATGCAAGAGAATTAGTTGCTTGAGGCTTTGCTTGAATATATGAGAATATATGAGAATGTATGGGAATCTATGAGAATATGTGAATGAATGTGTATCCCCCTAAAAATGTAATATTGATGGCTTTTATACCTCTTCATACATGGAGAAGTTGGGCCTTAGCCCAATTGGCTTGCTGAGAGGGCTGATCTTTGACTTTAGCACAATTGGAGAGTTGAACCTTGACCTTGGGCTTTTAATTGAATCATTTAATGCCTAGACCCAATTGGACTAAATTGGACCCAAACATTAAGTAACAAATATATATTACTGCAAAGGAAAATGATCAAAAAAGGGTTAGGATCATATAAATTTGTTTCCTTTGTTTCCTTTCTCATTATTTTAATTTTACTAGGGGATTACATTGGTATATATGTATATGTTCCCTTTACAATACATTTCTACTAGTATGAAGAGCAATAACTCAATTGCAACACAAATGAATAATACCAATTATTCAAAAAATTGTGTTAGAATATTAAAAGTAGTGATGTTATTCTTAATATGTACAATTTCATTTCTGATGTTGTACACTTATGCTCCGTACATCAATATTAGCCAATTTATATACATTGAGGGTTACGACGATGAACCATTCATACCACCATCTGAAAGTGAACTCGTAAGTGATTGATATTTGTGTCTAATTTCTTCTTTGTTTAATTTGTACGTGTTTGATATTAATTTTGCGCGATGATATATTATATTGTATGATGTATATGTATATTTTAATTTGTATTCAGTAGCCTAGTTAGATAAGTATCATAAATTGGTGCAAATGGTCGCTCCCCAAACTTTCTAGGTTAAATTTTATTCAAATTAAATAGGCATGTATCTTATACAGAGTATTATAACTAAAATTAATTTAATTTATTAAAAAAATATTTTATAATCTTGATCAACAAATGTAAAATATTGGAAATAAATCAAATAATAATAACAATCAAGGGAGTAGATTTGATGAAGGAAAGCATTATCTGTTTTTTATGGAGTTTAGAGAGCCACAAGAGCGGTGGTGAGAATCGGAGGAAAACTCTAACCACTTGAGCGCAGCTATCCCTCACTCTCAGGAAACCATTATCTGATTCTATTTAATGTATTTGTTAAAGTTATATTTCATTTGTAGAAGACGTATATGTCTTTCTATTATCAAAATATATTTTTTAAAAAAATTAACAATAATAATCCAAATTATTATTATTATTATTATTATTAAGCAAAATATATTTTTGGTCATTAATATAAGCTTGAGAATAAATTTAATAATTTAATCAATTATTTTTTTAAATTAACATTAGTCTAAATTCACTAAAAACTATTTTTATTCAATAGAACAGTTGCATAACATATACTAAAGATTACTAAAACAAAGAATAATAAGAAGAATTGGTGTAAGCTAGAGATCAAGAGGTAAATACTTAAGGTAATAAGACTTTTTTTCCTCTTAGAACTAAGTAAAAATATATATGAGTGTAAGTTATTAGTTGATAAACCAAAGAATAAGTGAATAATTCGTGTAAGAAAAAGGTAGATCGATATGAGATAGCAAAACAATCAAATAAAATGAATACACACATATGTTCGATGCATTATTTCTGTTTTCATAGTTTGTTTCTCATGGGGCATTATCGTGAGTAAATCAATAACTTTTTCATTATCGTGGGCTCCACAATTGAATAAAATTTGTTTCTCACCATGAGAAACTGGGGCATCCTCATTGTTACGATCATTGTTCAATTTCATCCATTAATTGTTCTTATGTATAATGTATTTCATTAATAATGGTTTGATCAAATTTTAAGGTCCATGATGAGTACTATGAGCTAAGAATTCTTCTAAAGGCAGTAACAATGAAGGATAACACAGTGATCTTGGCATATTTGAACGAGGCATGGGCAGCACCAGACTCAATATTTGAAATCTTTTTAGAGAGTTTCAGAATAGGCAACAATACAACTTACCTTCTCAACCATTTGCTGGTTGTAGCTATCGACAACAACGCCTATACTCGGTGCCAGACGCTAGTCTCCCATTGCTATCTCCTTAGATCAAATGAATCATCGACATTGGCTCATCAAGCTAACTTCATGACTCCTAATTATTTGGATTTGATATGGAGAAGAGTGGCCTTCTTGCAAACTATTTTGACCTTGGGTTATAACTTCATTATTACGGTAATAATCATAACTACTTTTTCCATTTACTTTAACAGTTTTACCCCAATAAAAGTCCTCACACTTTTAGTCAAATTGTTGCAACTAAAAGTGAAAAGAGGAAATTAAATGTTATGTTTACAAAAATGACACATTATTATTACTGCGTACGTGCTTTGACAAAATAAACCTATCTATAGTACTTAATATTGAATATATATTTTTTTGTTTTACAGGATAGTGATATTGTATGGTTTCGAGATCCACTTCCGCATATAATGACTGATAATAATTCAGACATCCAAGTTTCATGTGATTGGAACCGTGGAGATGAATATGACTTGAACAACCTTCCCAACGTTGGGTTCCTTTTTGCAAGGTCTAACAATCGCACGATCAAATTCTATGAGTTTTGGATATCCTTAAGGCACAAATATCCCAATTTACATGAACAAGATGCATTTAATCAAGTAAAACATCAACCTTCTTTCAGAGAACTTGGAGTTAACATAAGGTTTTTAGACACAAATTATTTTAGTGGGTTTTGTTCACCAAGTAATGATTTTAACAAGGTTTGTACCATGCATGCTAATTGTTGTGTTGGGTTAGATAGCAAAAAAGCTGACCTAAAAACTACATTAGAGAATTGGAAGGCTTATTATTCTACAGATATTAATCTCACGGCCATGTCACAACCTTTTCATTGTAGTGTTCCTAAAGAATGTCACATATAATGTATTTGTACGTAGATGAATGTTATATACATTCAGGTGTACGTTATAGTCGGAGTAATTATAATTAATAAGCTTGTTACATAGAAATATATTTTTTCTATATCTTGCATTGAATTGAATGATATCTTAGAGACCGTTTTAGGTGGAATTAGGCCAGGCTTATATATAGGTGTACAACATTGAAACAGACGAGATTCATGTTAAATTTTGAGAACCATCTTAAATTACATGTAAATGGTGCAATTAAAACTAACGAAAAAAGAGGAAGTATCTGTTGACACCGAAATTTTGTTGATTATTAGGTGTTAATTAAATATATGCAAATAAGGAGATAATATTAAAAATATATATATAAGTCCTATATAAAGAGGGTCGTTCCTAGGGTTTAATTAGGCTCAAATGGAACAAGTCACAAAGACCTCATCTCCTCCCTACTACCAAACATGGTACCCCAACCATTTGAATAGAGAAATCAAGAAATCTACGAGAGTTGTTCACCACAATTTACCTATGAAATAATTGTTCCCGTATATTTTTTGTACTCTTTATTTGTATACTGCAGATTTGAATTTTTATAGTTTGCAATATCCATTTTAATTTATGTAATATTGTTTCATAGTAATTCAAATACATTATGCAATATACACTTCTAATTGAATTAAAAATGGGTTGATGTTTTGAAGATATTCTTAACTAAGCATCTATTGTAAATTAAAGCTAGCTAGGCTGGCCACTTGACTAGTCTATTATGGCTCAGACTATCTAAGAATACTTATGAAACACATCTAGCTTTATATAGACTCGTTCTTTGGGACTTATTTTGTTACTTTGTTATATAAATATCAACGAATTGAAGTATATCAAACTATGTTAGTTCACTTCGTTATATATTATGAAATAGAACGAAAGAGTATATATTTATCAATTATCATTTTATCCGTCTTGTTAAAAGGCCAACTCAATTAAAGTCTTAAAAGTAATGATTAAAGACCTAATTTATATACTCTATTCACCCCTCCCCCCAATGTGACTCCCCTATATAGGGCTTTTTATTAACACCCAACGGCTATATATTCAACTTAATAAAAAATGTGGATGAGATTTGATCTCATGACCTCTCTGTCACGATTGCAAACAAGTTAGAGGCATATAAGCAACAAATATTGCTTAAAAGGTAATATAATCACCAAAAAAAAAAGGTATAGGATCAAAAAGTTTGTTTCCTTTTAGTATTTATTTTTTATTCTTTCTAAATATCTTTGTTTGGGGTAAGGAAGATTCTATTGTTATAAATGTATAATAACCCCTTCACCTCTTATAATTTTTTTTTTTTAAAAAAAAAAATTATTGAGAGTGGAAGAACAACCCAATTACAACGAAAATGAAGTATAATTATAAAAACAGTAATTCAAAAAAAGTACCAAATTATGTTAGAATAGCCGTAGTAGTGCTAATGTTACTGTCAATTTGTACAATTTTATGTCTAATGTTGTACAATTTTGATTCGTACCTCAGTTTTTCTGGATTTACATTTTATGAAGGATCCAGTGAATCTTCCTTACCAACCCCTGGAAATGAACTTGTAAGTGATTTTTGTGTTTATTAAGTTTGCGCTATGATATACCTTTTTTTAAAAAAAAAAAATTATTTTTTGCGCTTTGATATACTTCGTTTTATAATACTCCGTATGTTGTTTGTACTTCGTATACACATTAATTTTTTAAAATTCGTATATTGCTATATCATTTTCTTTTCTTCTTTTTTTTTTTTTTTTTTTTTTTTTTTTTTGAAAAAAGTATATTGCTGTATCTTAATCAAAAGTAAATAAATTAGAATTGGAATCATCATATATTCAGATCCCTGGGAGTGAGGGATAACTCAAGTTGTTAGAGCTCCCCGGTCCTTATGGCTCTCTAATAAACAAAAAAAAAATAAAAAAAATATTCATATCCCCATACTTCCTCCATTTTTTTATGTTATACTCCGTATTATTTATAAATTATAATTAAATAAATTATTTTTATATATAGTACTTATTACTTTATTAGCAATTGTTAACAAATACAGAGTATTATTAATAAATAAATAATATACCTTATTACTACGGATCAGGGTGATATCGTTATCATTATAACATATTTTATTACGTATTTTTTAACATTAATTCTTGCTGTATATTTCACTGATAAATATCTATTAATTAAGGTCCATGATGATGAGTACTACGAGCTAAAAAAATCTTCTAAAGGCGGTATCAATGAAGGTTAATACAGTAATCTTGGCACATTTGAACGAGGCATGGGCAGAACCAAATTCATTGTTTGATATCTTCCTGGAGAGTTTCAGAAATGGTAACAATACAGCTTACCTTCTCAACCATTTGCTGGTTATAGCTGTCGACGACAACGCCTATACTCGGTGCCAGACGCTAGTCTCCCATTGCTATCTTATTAGATCAAACGCACCATCATCGACATTGGCTCATCAAGCTAACTACTTGACTCCTAATTATTTGGATATGATATGGAGAAGGATAGCTTTCTCGAAAACTATTATGACCTTGGGTTATAACTTCCTTATTACATTAATAATATTATACTCCGTTAGTCCGTATTTTTTAAGAAATTTATAGAGAATATTCGTAGAATATATAAAATATCACGTGTTTTTCTTTTAGATAAATATGACACATTGTCACATTCATCATGTACGTACCATACCAAACTAGGAGTTATGATATAATTAATCATACTAGTAAATACTAAATCTTTTTTTTTTTTTTTTTTTTTTTCAGGATATTGATATTTTATGGTTTCGAGATCCATTTTCACATATAATCACGGATGATGATTCAGACATCCAATTATCAAGTGATGCATACAATGGTGACCCGTACGACATGAACAACTACCCCAATGTAGGGTTTCAATTTGCGAGATCTAACAATCGTACAATCAAATTCTACGACTACTGGTTATCTAAAAGATACTTATATCCAACAAAACATGAACAAAGTGTTTTCAACAGGATAAAATTTGATCCATTTATTGAATTAATCGGGTTGAAAATACGGTTTATGGATACGGATTACTTTGGCGGGTTTTGTACACCAAGTAGAGATTTTAACAAGGTTTGTACCATGCATTCTACTTGTTGTGTTGGGTTGAGTAACAAAATTGCTGCTCTAAAAACTTCACTTGAAGATTGGAGGAGATATTTATCTTCATATCAAAAGGCTAATTATACACAACAATCTTCTCATTGGAGATTCAAATGCCGACGTTGATTGGTGGGTCTAATCCGTTGTTCTACTTCTTGTGTACCATACGACACAATTGAATATGCTCTGTACTACTTTGATAATACTTCTTATATTTATTGCATTATTGTTCTATTACTAAAGATTATATATGAATATTATATTCACCACATAATGCAAATGTCAACCAAAAAACTTGTAGTATGCTCATAAGCAATCATCATTAAAATTGTGGGTTCATGGAATTTGGGATACACTCACTAAATCCAACAGTAATTAAACCAATCTTAAATACAACCAAATTGTAATTTATTTTGTATAAAGTAATTAAACCAATCTTAATTAAAAATTCTCAAGTTTTATTCTATTCATAGATGTTTCGTTTTTGCCCTAGCTAATCTCTCCTTCCTATGTCTACTAAGTTACTAATTAGAGATTGGAAGTGAAAGATACAAGCTAGTACTTCCTCTATCCCTTCTTTTTCCTTTTTTTTTTTCTTCAATTGACTTTTCACGGTCTTCAATAAATATTTTAAAATGTACTACCTCCGGTCCACTTTACTAACAACTTTAAGAGTGATTGCGAAGGCCGAGACAAAAGATCATAAGCATGATTATTGAAAGATAAGGGTATATGCTTAAGTTTTAATTCAACCTTAAAAAAAAAAAACAAATTCAATTAAATTTATTTAAAATTTACCCACCACTACCGGCACCACCTAGCTGCACAGAAAACACCCACCAGCCACTACCACCACCTACCACCGAACCCAGCCATGACCACCAACCCAACCACGACCACCAACCCAGCCACGACCATCAAACCAACGACCAAACCCAGACCACGAACACTAACCTACGACCACACCCAGCCACGACCACCAACCCAACACATCGACACAACCAACCCAGCAGACCCGAGGCCACCGATCTTAGACCACGCCAACACAAACAACACCGAAACCACCAACCCCAACCCACCGATTTGAAACCCACGAGGCCAACGATTGTAGACCACGCTGCAGCCGATCTTAAACCACGAGGAAGGAGAGGAGAGAGAAACCCACCAACGATCTGAAACCACCCTAAACCCACAGACCGAAAGATCCACAAACCCACGAACCCAAAGATCCACGAACCCACAAACCCAGCAACCGATTTGCTAGCTCGCCACCAGAAGGAAATGCAGCGAACACTCGCAAAGGAGTCTGCCGAATTATCGCCGGAAAATTCCTTCGACGTCAAACTCAGTCGTCGGAAATCGCCCCTAAAATCTGATAAAACTCACCGAAAATCGCCGTTGAAATCAAGACAGGTTGAAGGAGGAGAGAAAAAAAAATAGGGATGAGCAAGAAGATGTAGAAATTTGATGATGGTGATGAGGAGGAAGATGAAGGTGGCTGATTAGATGGAAAGGGGTTGATTTTGGTGAAAATAATTAACTTAATTTATGTTAGGGTTTAAGGTAATTAGATAAAATTAGTTTTTTAATTAGGGTGTTTTAAAATAAAAGTAAGGGTAAAATGGTAACTTTACCACTAAAAAGTTACTAAAAAAGGAAAGAAATGGGAAAGTTGCAAGTAATTTGGACCACCCCAAAAGGGAAATAGTTGCGAGTAAAGTGGACCGGAGGTATTATATAACTTTATTTCTAAACGCGTAAAAAATTATAAAAACCTGATATTAATACAATGTGTTGGAAATAGGTAATGCAAACGGATGCTCGTGCCTGATCGGGCGGCCCTCGCCCGATCGGGCGGAGGTGGCCAAGGAAAATAAGAGAACTTTAGCGCCCGATCGGGCGGCGGACTCGAGTTTTTGACGAGCCCGATCGGGCGGATTCGCCCGATGGCTCGCCCGGGATGGGTTTTCTAGATCGCCCGATCGGGCGCGACACCAGGTCTGGAGAAACTTAATCTCGCGCCCGATCAGGCGGTTGCTTGCCCGATCGGGCCCGCCTTTTTTCCTAGGTCGGTTTGCTTTGCGTGTTTCTTCTTCCGTGACTCATATAAATACGAGTCTTGCCTCTTCATAAGATTCATTCACTTTTTAGCCGAAAACACAAACCTACCATTTGAAATCTGAACAGTTCTTGAGCAATTCCACTCTTCGAGTTCGGGTGCACGGATTACGGAGAGAGTTGCGTTAAACTTGGGGGGCGTGCGTCACTAGGAAACTTGTACCGGTGGTGGCGTATTTCGCTTCTAAGGCAGTGGATTTTGTTCCACGGCGCGACTGTGAGTTTGGGATCTTCAATCCAGGAAAGTTCTAATCTTTTGTTTGTTATTGATTTCAACAGTTATTTTACCAACACAATGTACAATGAGATAAATCTAACATACAAGACCTCACATTATGAGTTTATGACTACATTATCTCTTGTTAATTAATGAGAATTTATGGTCAAAGTTTTGAAAGTTTGACTCATTTATTTGTGATGGGGCAAATAAACAGGGACAGAGGAAGTAAGAGTCTTCTCTAACCAATAATTTATTGAGATTAATGGGTGGCGGTGCTTAATTATAGCCTTAGTTTCTCCAGGTCATGTGATAACAACGTTGACTTTAAAGTGTTTATGTATATACGTACGGGAAAAGAAAGATTACAATTAGAGAGTGATTAGAGTGGACAAAAAAATAGATTATACAATTTACAAATTATTCAACTATTTTTCAAATAAATAAATAAATAAATTGTTCAACTATGTTTGAGAGCATAATCGAAATCTAAGATTGTTACACAAGTAGTACAACACAAAAGCGTATTACGTAGTATATGATATTATTTTGATCTGACTTTAAACACCACTCACTAAGATTTTAACAATGGCCACCCGTAACGGACGCTGTCCGTTATGAATGGGCCCTTTTGTGCCCGTTACGGATATGATGGCCTTTTTTCCATTAGTGTGATATAGCTCATATATGTACGAAATTGCTCCTTTTATATCTCAATAAATTCGGTCAACCAAATTAGTTGGTATGTGTTCACTGAATGCACATGTACATGATGATATATATAGCTTCTTTTTATTTGTAGAGCTTGATATAATATAGCAAAGCTTACAAAAGTAACTTAACATCTCACAACAAACCATTGTTAAATCTTTCTTATCTAAGACATATGGTCTACAAAATTTCCAAGTCATGAAATCGATCTTTTTATATTTTAATTATCGTAATTAAACTATTAAAGACTTAAACAAGATATGCGTACGTCTTAATAATAAGCATGTGCGTTAAGATAAATCATTTGTCACTTCATAACGTAAAGAAGCTAAGGTACTTAACTATCTTAAGTCATCCTAACATTATAAAAAAGGGGTCATCAGTTGACACTCTTAAGGATTGGATAATAAAGAAGCTAAGGGTTGGAGGGACTCGCATTCCATGCATATAAACTCGTAGCCATGACGAGTTCATCATCAACAATGATGTCCTGCAATTTTTCCATGCCGAGTAAATTCGCGGTGTTGATCTCAACACTTGCATTTTTCATCCTATACTGCTCTTCATGCCACAACTATGGGGAGTTTCTACCTAGCTTCGCCCGGTTATCTCCTTCCTACAATCGTTTCAATTTATCTTCGTCAGTTGTGAGTCTCGATCTCTTAACACTCGCTCCCTTTCTTTTAAATTTTGCATTTTAATTCAATTTTAGTGATATATAATAGTTTTATCACATGATTGTTAATTCAAATTATACTCTCGGTGTAGACCAAGTACGTACATAGTAATTATTTTCCACATATTGTACACTTTATACCTTAAAAGTACTCTATTAACTAAACTTATATATGACCTTGCAATCTTGCATATATGAATTGTGATCATGCATATGTTAAAAAAACTAAATTATTTTTTTTTAAAAAAAAAAAAACCGTACTTGGCATAGGTTTATATTCAAGTACTTTTCAAATTAAAAGATCATATTTATATACTACTTCGCAATTTCGTATTATACTTGTGTGATTGAAATATATTAATGATAACCCATGATTGTTCTTTTGTTAATTTTGTATTTTCGGGTTTACTTAATTTTAAAAAATAAAAAACCATATTATATTTTTGATTTTTTAGTTCAAAACATAAACTATAACATTGTTTATATGTCGAAATAAAAAAATTAATGAAATAATGTTACTCGTACAACTTCTATTAGCTTATTATTAAATACAATTAAGTAGATTATTATTGCGTACACACAAGCACTTTCATTTCAATGATGCAATATGAGATATGGCAATATTCTTAGGCCAATTGAATCAATTGAGTATATAATTTTAATTAAGCCATTAGAATAGGTTTTTCCAAATGTTAAGATTGTTGAAGGATATAATACAACTATAACCAACTTTAATTTTATTTATTATTTTTAGGTCAATTACATAATAACATTATATAAATCAATAAATAGATTTTGTTTTTAAAACTACACTTCACTTCTTTGTAACTATACTTGTAAGATCGAGTAACATTGTTGATTTGGCGTTATTACAATAAAACTTTGAAATACACACCTGTCATTGTCTTAAGAAAATTAAGACAACCAACCAACCAACAACTTACTAATTAACATTTTGTTTAATAATATGGATTTTAAATTTTAAGGTCCATGATGAGTACTATGACCTAAGAAATCTTCTAAAAGCGGCATCGACGAAGGAGAATACAGTGATCTTGACATACTTAAACGAGGCATGGGCAGCACCAAACTCGATATTCGATATCTTCTTAGAGAGCTTCAGAAATGGTAACAATACAGCTTACCTTCTCAATCATTTGCTGGTTATAGCAGTCGACGACAACGCCTATACTCGGTGCCAGACGCTAGTCTCTCATTGCTATCTTCTAAAGTCAAATGCATCTTCTACATTGGCACATCAAGCTAACTTCATGACTCCTAACTATTTGGATATGATATGGAGAAGACTAGCCTTCTTGCAAACTATTTTGACCTTGGGTTATAACTTCGTTATTACGGTAATTCTATCTATCTCCTTACGAAACTCTCCAACTAATTTTTGCTCGTACTTTTTAAGGAGTATGATTTTTATTAGTTGACACATCTGGTAAACATACTTGAAGAAGATGTATGCATGCCTAGCTTTTTAATTACTAACTAGTTTTTTGGCCCGTTCAATGCACGAGCTGTTACTTGGGCTAATTATTTTCATATGTAGGAAGATTGTTTCATTTCTAAACTTAAAAGAAAAAAAGAGAGAGGGTAGAACCGTGAAAGAAGATGAATGAATTTAGTTAAATATATACACGTGAAGATTGTGGGATATAAAATGACATATTATTTTAAATTATATTTAAAGTCTAGGAGATGAAAAGACAATTTTTATTATAATTTATATGTTTATGTAATGTGTTTTAATTATAATTTATATGTTTATGTAATGTGTATTAATTAAAACATTATTTTATTATGGTGGAAATGAAACACTTCATTTTCTTACTTGAATTTGCAAGTTGTATAATACATAAAGACTTAAACATAAATATTAAGAGAGATGACATGTGGCATATGGGGTGAATAGTGATTTGTGAATTGTGATGTCATGTGTCATATGAAAAATTTGTGATTTGTCTTTTTAAATACTAAAGTATAGAAGTATAGATATAGATAGATCAATAAGTTTTACTCCATTCTAGGTCTTGATTTAATTAAGAAAGTCAAATGTGTTATTGATATAGGACCACCTTAGATGAGACTTTGGAGTAAGTGATTTCATAATTAATAAATAAATAGAAATGAATATAAACAATCCATCTTTCTAATACTTCATATTTCTTGAATTGATTAAATTAAACAATCTACTTTGTACAAAGTTACTCATATAATGGTATAAATGGAGTATTAAAAAGATATATGGAGGGATTGACGTGTCTCTCTTAACAAGAAAGAATCGAAATAATTAAAATTTCTTGTACAAAATACATACTCGAACTTAAATAAATCTCTTCATACTTAACCTTCTACTTCATGTCTTCATTATTCTATGGAATACATTTATTATTAATTGTCGTATTTGCTTTTCATAATGTTTGACAGTTAAATTTTTCCATTTATATCTAACAAATCTTAATATTGACTTGAAATTTCAAATTGCAGGATACAGATGTTATATGGTTTAGAGATCCATTCCCACATTTTACTCCTGATTCTGACTTTCAAACATCATGTGATCGATTCAATGGCAGGCAATTTGATTTGAACAACTTTCCCAACGTTGGGTTCCTTTTCGCAAGGTCTAACACTCGCACGATCAAATTCTACGAATATTGGGTATCCTTAAGACACAAATATCCCAATTTACATGAACAAGATGCATTAAACAAAGTAAAACATGAACCTTCTTTAAGAGAACTTGGAGTGAAAATAAGGTTTTTAGACACAAATTATTTTGGCGGGTTTTGTTCACCAAGTAGAGATATTAACAAGGTTTGTACAATGCATGCCAATTGTTGTATTGGGTTAGATAAGAAAATTGCTGACCTAAATACGGCGTTAAAGAGTTGGAAGACATATTTTTCTACAAATAATCACACGGCCGTCACACGACCCTTTCGTTGGAGAGTTCCTAACAAATGTCGCACGTCCTTTGGTGTTTAGAGAAACAATCCCAAAATCTCCTGGGATCGGGAGAAAAACTCTAATAACTTGAGTTATCCCTCACTCTCGCACGTAATGGATTTGTAATTTTATTATAATATAATATTTTTGTATCAACGAGCCACAATGGCACACCATCACAAATAGGGGTGGATGATTTATTCTTGTGATTAATCGTACACGGATCATACTTTATGTCTGTTAACCACTAGTCAAGGCCTCATACATATATAATGGATTTGTATGTAGATGAATATAAATTACAATAGTAAAAACAAGTATGTAAGCTCAAGTGTATTAATTTTTATTTTATTTTATTTTTGACAGAGCTCAAGTATTATAAATCATACAATTTTTTATTTATTTATTTTTATTTTTATTTTTATTTTTACATGGATGATAAGGTAAACTATATAAAATATATAAATAGTGTAAAAATAAAATATGAGACGAAGTACTTGAGAAACAAAATTACCCTGCATACGTAGACGTTCAATGCATGTGATACATTTCTCCCACAATTTGGTCATAGAAATGTAATTTGTATTTCTGAAGAATTAGAGAGAAATAGAAAATAATCACAATAGAATTGCTTGCCTTTCATTGATTTACCTAGGGAAATATATAGAGCTACAATATCAATCCTAGTCCTAGTATCATAAGATATCTTAGGATCTTTGGAAAATAACTAAAATAGAAAAGATAATTATATGGAAAATATTCTAAATATTCTACCAAATCACACAAAGATATGATATGATCTCAATACCCCCCCCCCTCAAGTTGGAGCGCTCGGATCGTAAGTGCCCAACTTGGAAAGAAGATAATCAAACTGTGCTTTCCCAAGAGCTTTTGTAAAAATATCTGCAAGCTGTGAAGATGTCGGAACATAAGATGTAGAAATCCACCCCTCTGTAATCGCATCACGAACAAAGTGACAATCAATCTCAATGTGCTTTGTCCGTTCATGAAATACCGGATTCTTTGCAATGTGCAGAGCTGCCTCATTATCACAAAATAACTTAATTGCCTTTGGATGTTGTACTCCAAGACTCAACAACAAAGCCTTCACCCATTTTAGTTCTTTAGAACACGAAGACATGGACCTATATATACTCGGCCTCTGAAGAAGAAAAAAAAACAGTAGGTTGCTTCTTAGTTTTCCAAGAAATAGGAGATTTTCCAAGGAAAACAAGCCAACCAGTTAAAGAACGACGAGTCAGAGGGCAAGCAGCCCAATCAGAATCACACCAACTAACCCTGCAGATTTAAATCACAATCAGAGCTCAATAAAATACCTTGTCCGGGAGTCACTTTCAAGTATCTATCGAACCACCCTCATTGCAGCATCCCAATGTTCACTACGAGGTTGCTACATAAACTGAGACAAAATATGAACCAAATACGCCAAGTCAGGGCGTGTGACAGTAAGATAAATCAGACGGCCAACAAGCCGTTTATATGGCTCTGGATCAGAAAGAAAATCGCCCGTTGCCAATCCCAATTTGTGATTTTGCTCCATGGGAAAACCACTAGGCTTCGCGCCTAATAGACCTGTCTCAGAAATAATATCCAGAGTATATTTTCGTTGACATAAGAATAAACCTGCAGAGCTACGAGCCACTTCAATCCCCAAAAAACATTTCAAAGGACCTAGATCCTTCATTTTGAAACAATCACACAAATAAGCCTTAAAAACAGACAATGCAGCGGAATCGTTCCCGGAAATAATTAGGTCATCAACATATACTAAAACAGTAATCTGAGTATCACGAGTAGTATGAGTGAATAATGAATAATCAGAATAAGACTGGTTGAAACCATACTGTTTTAAGGCTGTAGTAAGCCTAGCAAACCAACATCTAGGTGCTTGCTTCAAACCATAAAGTGATTTCCTTAATATGCAAACCAATGTAGGATCCGAACTCTGAAAACCGGGTGGAAGTTTCATGTAGACTTCTTCATCCAAGTCACCATGAAGGAATGCATTGTGAACATCCATTTGGTGAATTTCCAAATTCTTGGCAGCTGCAATAGCAAGAACAGTATGAACCATAGTCATCTTAGCAACCGGGGCAAATGTCTCATCAAAATCTACACCTGCTTTCTGATGATTCCCATATATCACCAAACGAGATTTGAGGCGCTCAACCTCGCCATTAGAAAGAAACTTTGTCTTATAGACCCATTGACTTCCGAGTGCCTTTTTGCCCGGGGGAAGAGACTCCAAAGTCCAAGTACCATTGTCCTCTAAAGCTCGAATTTCTTCATTCACGGACTTACGCCATCCGTCAGACTGCATAGCTTCTTTGAAAGTTGTTGGATCTTTGGTTTGAACAACAGCTGAAATAAATTTTCGATAATTCACAGAAAATTTGTCACAATGTATATAATGTGCTAAGGGATACGGAGTACCTGAAGACTGATTGGATGGCGGAGACGGACTATTGGCAAAAACCGAGTGTGTGACATAATCACGGAGCAAAACTGATGGGAATTTTTCCCGAAATCCGCGCCCTAACTCGGACTGCTGAGCATCGGACATGGTGGTGCTGTGCGGACTGCTGGTGCTGGACGACGGAGGGCTGTCGCCAACATGTTGTGCACTGTCGCCAGCCTGCTGTGCACTGTCGCTGTGCGGGACTGGCAAGCACTGATCAGCGTCCGCAGCCTTTCCAGCGGGCTGATCAAAGCTGGAGTGCTGCGGACTGTTCTGGGTGTCTGCGGCAGTGGGCTGCTGGGCACGCATAGCCCCCCTTGTCGTGGACACCTCCCTATTTTCAGCAGCTATTTCATCATTTTTCAATCCCAAAATCAACATCCGCAAAATCAACATGTATATCCTTCGTTGTGCCATGAATTCCCAACTCAATATTGACATCATCCGGGCAACCAAACGGAAAAATGTCTTCCACAAATTTAACATCACGAGACACAAAAAATTCCTTAGATTCTAGATCATACAGGCGTCAACCCTGCTTCCCAAAAGGGTAACCCAAAAATACATACTTACGACTCCGACTAGCAAACTTATCCCCCTTTGTCTTTTGATTATGATGAGCAAAACATAAGCAACCAAAAGTACGGATAGCATCAAAACAAGGAGGTTTATGAAAAAAAAAATTGAATGGGGTTTTGTTTTGGAGAAGAGGAGTTGGAGTACGATTTATTAAGTGAGCTGCAGCCAAAACGCATTCTCCCCAAAAAGAAATAGGCAATTTAGCTTGAAATATCAAGGCTCTCCCAACATTCAAAATATGTTTATGTTTTTGCTCTACCCTCCCATTTTGTTGAGGAGTTCCCACACATGAGGTTTGAAAAATAATGCCAGTAGCAGTAAAAAAAAAAAAATCAATCAAACAATTAAATTTGGTTCCATTATCACTTTGAACAATTTTAATTGTTTGATTAAATTGCCTCTCAACCATAGCAACAAAAGCCATAAACATCTGAAAAACTTCTGTTTTATCAAGCAATAAATAAATCCACACTGCTCTCGAATAATCATCAACAATGGTAAAAAAATATCGAGCTCCACATGACGAAACATGTCTATATGGACCCCATAAATCACAATGTATTTTCTCAAAAATTCTAGAATATTTATTATCCCTCAAAGGAAATTTGTCTCGAGGTTGTTTAGCACGGAAACACACTTCACAACCCTTATCTAAACTATTTTTATTATTAATATGCGGAAGTAACTTAACTACTTTTTCCGAAGGATGCCCCAGACGCCTATGCCAAAGCTCCAAATCTGACGTTGCTTCAACCACAGACACACGTTGCACCACGTCCAGTTTGCCAAAGAAATAATATAGTCCGACTCGCCTAATTCCCGTTCCAATCAGCTGCTTCAGTCGGTCCTGTATAGCACACATATAACAGTTAAATTGGACAACAACATTTAATTGATCACAATTTTGTAACAGAAAGCAAATTGCAATTAAGGTGTGGCACAAAAAGAACTCCGGTGATGGTAATTTTATCGGACAATCGGACAAAACCTTCCAAAGTAGCTAACACACTCTCACCATTTGGTAAACCAACCGGACATTCAATATAACGAGCGTCAAACAACCACGATTGATTACCGGTAACGTGGTGAGTAGCTCCGGTATCAATTATCCAACAAGAATCATCAAACTTACCGTATAAACGATTTTCAGGAATATTCGTATTACCAATAAAACCTGAAAGGGATTTCCATTGTTCAGCCGTGAATACACCACTGCTACTGCCAGGATTCGAGGGAGGAGCCGCGGTAGACTCTGCTGCTGCTACATTGACACACACTCCCCCCCTTTTGCCCGGACCTGCTGCTGCCTCTTTCGGACCTGATGTTCAGCCCGGAGGAAACCCGACCACTTCAAAACACCGAGTAGGGTCGTGTCCCTTTTTCTTACAATGAGGACATGGGTCCTTAAACCAACAAGTAGAGAAGTCGTGACCCTATTTTTTACAGTGAGAACAAACAGAGCCACGCCCCCACCTGTAGTTGCTCGGAGCACAAAGCCGACTGCCTCGGTGGGATTAGTTTCGTGCTCCTTTTTTGAATTGTATACCCGTTCTTCTTGCACTACAAGTTGATACGCTCTGTCTAGACTTGGCAAAGGATCTTGTGACAAAATATTTGAACGAAGAGAAGAGTAGTAATCCGAATACAACCCCATCAAAAAATCATGGAGACGGGATTGGTCTCGTTCGCTGCTTGTGAAGCCTTCCCGCTGTACAAGAGGAGCTGCACGAGCAGGAGATTAGAGGCTCATGGTGATCAAGCTCCTGCCATATAGCGTGTAATTTGCCAAAGTATACTGAAACAGCCATAGTTTGGTATGTTCACACTTAGCAATCGAAGAGCGAAGTTGCTGAATTCGGGGACCGTTCGTCTGGGCAAAACGTTTTTGGAGGTGATCCCAAAAAGGCTTTGCTTCTCTGAATTTTGAAAGGGAGGATTTTACCTCTGGAGCAATTGTATTTGAGAGCCACGAAATCAGCATAGCATTGATGGCAGTCCAGTCTGATTTCGTACATGGTGATTCAGGCACTGTAATCGTACCATCAAGAAATTCGAATTTACAACGTACCTCAAGGGCAGTCTGAATATCGGCAGCCCACCCATCGTAGTTATCGCCTTTGAGTCGAGTCGGAGTAATATAATCGCCAGGCCTATCTTGAGGTCCTAAATAGTACGGAGAGTTTGGTTCAATCTTGGGTGGTGGCGGTGGTGGAACATCGTCACCAGCCATGGTGTTTTAGAAAAAAAAATCAAAAAAAACAAACCTTGCTCTTAACACTATAAGAAAATAACCTTTTCGTAGCAATTATTTTAACCTTTAGTATCGATTGTAATTGCAACAAAATGCTTTCCCAACGAATAGTCATTCGATACAATATCCCCCGTTGCCTTAGCCTTTAGTAGTGGTTTTCAATATCGCTGGGATTGGCCTCAATAATCGATACGAAAAACTACATCCAATCATGGTGATTATTGTAGCGATTACAATCGCTATAAATGTTTAACTCATTTTCTTCAAAAAAAAAAAAACTTGCGTATGATCTTTACAAGATTCAAACATGCAACCTCAAACTCTTATATTAAATGTTTCACCAATAAGTTATGACATATTTTATGTACTCTTTGTCAAACAATATTTATATATCTAGTGTTGAAAAGGCTTTTCGTATCGATTTTTAGGATTTAGTGGCGATTGTAAATGATTCGATTTCTCAAAATTATATAAATGTGTAAAAATAGTGTGGATATGTATTATTATGTTTTCCGTATCGATTTTATATGGGAAAACCATGGCGATTGTAAAAATGATACATCCTTAGTTATTTCACAAACATACTTGCATATTGTAGCGAATGTACAATCCCTACGAAATAATCGCTACGAAAAGTGATTTTTCTTGTAGTGTAATACCATGAAGAATTAAAGAGAAATAGAAAATAATCACAATAGAATTGCTTGCCTTTCATTGATTTACCTTGGGAAATATATAGAGCTACAAATATTCTACCAAATCACACAAAGATATGATATGATCTCAATAGTTTCCTTAAACAACATAGAAATCTATGTAATTCAACTTACAATCCGAAACATATATAATGTAACCCTTGTAATTTTTCTGTGGAAATATAAACAAATTTGATCCCCAAAACAATTGGAGGACGTATGGTGGAGATAAAAGGTTGGAGTTGTCCAATTTTGAATTTGATGAATTCTTCTTCTTCATCATCAACAACAACAAGGCCATGTAATTTTGTAATATTGCTTAAAATTGCGGTGTTGATCTCAACTCTTGCATTTGCATTCCTCGTCTTAAGCTTCACTTCTCCTTTCAATCGTTTCAATAGATTTTCGCCCCTTGATGAACAAGTGAGTCTACAATTTTCTTGTTACAATAGATCAATTTCCTTTCTTTTGCATTTTCGATAAATTTAAGGTTGCTGATAAGCATTAAATATAATTTTTCATGTTCGAGAATTTGTTACTAAACTATGCGTTGTTTTGAATGCTTGAAACTTTATCATGTCATATTATAACTTGTTACATGTAGAGCGTGTAACATTTTGGCATTGTCTATCTCCATCATTATTTTAATAAATTAACATGGCCCGGTAAAATTGAGTTTTTACCCATAACACATTGATACCCTTATAAGAATTCTTTTTTATAAAAACTAAAATTATTAGAGAAAATAAACAAAGAATTGAGGAAAGTTGTCTGAAAAGGGATTTAAATTCGGGTTTTCTCAACTCTCTCAAGTGTTTTTAGAATTACCAAATTAAAGGATCACCCCTTTCTTATAAAGGGAGTAGTTCTTTTCTTTCTTGCAAAACCTTTTGCTTTCTTATGCAATGTGATTTGATTTCTTACATTTTATCAAAAATTTTGAAACTTGAAGGTCCATGATGAGTATTATGAACTAAGAAAGCTTCTAAAGGCAGCTTCAACAAAGGAGAAAACAGTGATCTTGACATACTTAAACGAGGCATGGGCAGCACCAAACTCGATTTTCGATATCTTCCTAGAGAGTTTCAGAATTGGTAACAATACAGCCTACCTTCTCAACCATTTGTTGGTTATAGCAGTCGACGATGACGCATACACTCGATGCCAGACATTAGTCTCCCATTGTTATCTTCTGAAGACTAATGAATCATCTGCAATTGCTCATCAAGCCAACTTCATGACACCCCTGTATTTGGACATATTGTGGAGAAGACTTGCTTTCTTGCAAACTATTTTGACCTTGGAATATAACTTCATTATAACGGTAATCTTAAGAAATGACACATTTTTTTATTAGTATTACCAAACATAACTATAATATATAATCAACTGCATATTTTTTGCTTTTACAGGATACTGATGTTGTATGGTTTCGAGATCCATTCCCACATTTTATCACTGATGATTCAGACTTCCAAACTTCATGTGATCGATTCAATGGAGATCAGTATGACTTGAACAACTTCCCCAACATGGGCTTTCTTTTCGCGAGGTCTAACAATCGTACCATCAAATTCTACGACTTTTGGGTATCATCAAAACACTTGTATCCACATTTACATGAACAAGATGCTTTTAACAGAATAAAGCATGATCCAGTTGTTGCACTACTTGGGTTGAAAATAAGGTTCTTGAATACTGATTATTTTAGTGGATTTTGTTCGCCTAGCAGAGATTTCAACAAGGTTTGTACAATGCATGCTAATTGTTGTGTGGGATTAGACAGAAAAATTGCTGATCTAAAGACTGCATTAGAAGATTGGAAAACCTTTATTTCTGCAAATCAGTCTGAATTATCACAACCTTTTAATTGGAGTGTCCCAAACAAATGTTTGTATTCCTTTCTCGGTTAATTTTTCTTGATCTTCTGCATTTGATTAGGTTTGTACTTGTATCTAATCACTAGCTTACTTAATTTAGCAAGGGAAAGAATTTCTCTTGAATTTTGTATTTCTACTTTGTAAAGCTGAATGTTACAATGGTAAAGACATGACTGTCATCTGAAGCTTTGTAATTACTGAATTTCCGGTTATCTGAGTTTGTTACATTTGTAAATAGCTACAAGAGAAGATTCATCACAACAATCTAATTTGAAATAACTGACCTGAGGTTTGTGGAATCTACAACAAAGGTTCTCAAGCACTGTACTTTTCTAAGAGTATTCCACTGGTTTCGCAGCAGCTAACCTGAACTGTAAAATTAACAGGTAAACTTTTCAACACTTTGGTGGGCAGTCTGCTAGGTAAAGGATATCGCAACTTTAAGATAATATGGTGCTAAAGTTAACAGGCGCAATCAGGTTTTGAATTTTGAGTTTTTTTCCCTGTTTCGTAATACATTACGTGGTGTTACTACAGAGGTAAGGGAGCGTGAGAGGATCTGGTAATTCCTTATGAGAAGTGTGTATGAAAATGAAAGATTTCACAAAAAGAACCTCAGTATAACAAGAAAACTTTACTATTGCTACAAATGATTTATTCTGTACACAACACTGCTCATTCTTGGTGACAATATTGCAGCTACTGGAACATGATATGGACAACTAACTGACAATTAACATTGTTTAGTTAAGCTTAATAAAACCAAATCTCTGTGAAAACTTTTCAAATCAAGTGGAGAATCCTTCTTCAAACAGTTGAATATCATTTCTGTAATCTTTCTCGATTCCTTTTCTTGCCCATATGATGCATGCACAAGATTTCCCTTCTCTCTGAACATTGGGACATATAAATCAAGTATGTGGTGAGGAGAGAGGTCTAGACCTTCCTCCACTGCATAAGCTGTTCTTCCATCTTTGGTAATCAGCTGCAGGGCAAGAAGTCCAAATGCAAAGATGTCTTCCTTGACAATAGCGCCTGTTTTTCAATATATAAAACGTGATGAGCCATGATTTTGGAGAACACATCTGTGATCAATTTAAAAACGCATACCTTCTTGCGATGAAGGATAGTATCTGGGATTATCGTGGGTGGTTCTTTGCCCTTCCACTACACAATGCCTAAAATCAACGACTTTAGGGACAAAGTCCTGCAGATCAGTGGACAACAGTACAAAAGGTACATATTTGGTCAGTTGGCAATAAAATAGTAAATTTCAATTATCAGCAGGATATAGAGATGCAAATATGTGCAGAATAACAAAGCAACAATTCAGGGGCATATAAAATAATACAAAGCAATTTTACAAAAGATTATACCTTAGTAACAAGAATACTGTTAGTACTGATGTTGGAATGCACAAATGGCCCTTCTGAATGGCTATGAAGAAAAGCCAACCCGGAGACAGTTCCTTTAAGAACCTTCAATGCTTGTTCCCATGTCAAGCCTGTTTGACCAAAAAAAAATAAAAAAATTATGCTGATGGACTGATGGTAGTAATGCATGCGTTATATATCAATTAGGTTAGCTAGATCAGTAACTAAAACAAATATGGAAGCCAGGGTAATTCAATATTGAAGAAGCAGATGAAGATGCATTAGGTTTCTGTTTTTGCCATTATTTACTCAGTTCGAATCACAGAGACATGACTCAGAAGTCCAACAGACCATATTCATAATCGAAGTGATCCACATACAAACAATAGGTACTCTTCTTGCTTCTAAAGTCCAACCTGTCCCATATGTATAACATAATATTGGGGATCTGAATAGAAAACAGAGAACTAAGAAAAGGGATAGAGTAGGAGAAGGTTCACAATTTTTAGAGAAAAGGGAAGATACCATTTTCATTAAAAATGATCATAAATGAAAAGAAAATGTGTCGCTATGCTACACTCTCAAGCATTAACAGAATTGAATAAGTCACAATTATAAGATTTAGACAAAGCAAACAAGCAACTAACCCTTGACAAGTTCTGATAACGGCCTGGCTTGCACCATTTCATAGACAAGGTAAAAGTTCTCCTTTGTCTCAGAAAATCCAATCAAACCAATAATATTGCGGTGTTTAAGAGAACACAACTTCAACTCATTCTGCAGTTCACAATGCAAACAAATAAATTACAGGCATAAGTCCCAGAAAAAAGAAAAGTTGCCAACTTTAAATGTTGATTGAATTCAACATATTCCGTACGTAAGAACTAAATGCTCCCTCTATTCTTTATTAACACATGTATTAAGTGTTTTCTCTCATTACATTTGCATTTCAAAATGACATAATATTGCATTAGTTTTTTTAAGAGGCAAATAAACTTGCACTGATATTCTAACACGTCTAAAATCAACATTCATTACAGCATTGGCAATTAGCATACTCAAGGGCGGATCCAGAAATTTTTTATAGCCCGGGCCGAAGTTATAAAGCATTTTAAATAATAAAGCCATAAATGGATATGAGTTTAAGAAATCCACACTAAAAAAAAATCTGCAAACAAGGGGAATTGAACCCTTGACTTTCCAAATCTATGGAACAAGTAACTAACCAACTAAGCCAACTATAAAACTTGAATACTTATACAAGATTTTTTATTTATATAATATCAAAATCTGGGCATTGGGGGGGCCAAGGCCCGGGTAGGCCCCCCCTTGGACCCGTCTATGAGCATACTGAAAGTGACAAGTAATATGAAGTATAAAGAGACAATCAAAACAGCAACAACATTATAAAGGGATAATCTTAAAGCTCAAAGTAATAATCTGAAGAAAAATATTATTTTAAAATAATGCAAGTAAAATCACAGAAAAATCATTTTGATCCAAAGTCAATCAAAGAATGTGCCTATCACACTGGCTAATCTCTCCAAAAGTCGTTAGATAATAGGGGTAAGAAAAATCTTGGCTATCATTTGACGCTGTCTTATACCTGAACTCACAGGAATACAACATGGAGATCAGTAAAATATACAGGTGGTTTTGAATTTCAATGATTATAGACCAAGACAAGGCATAATTGAGCCATGAAATTGAGAAAGTTGATAATGTACTCCCATGCCCAGCAGATGGATTCGAGAAATAATGAGCTTAAGAGGGGTGAGGTTTGCTCTGAGATAGGCATCTTTGTAACCTTACCAAAGTTCTTGAGGTTTTAGCAAACGAAAAGCCCGTGTAAGTTGTAACCTCATTAATAAAAGTATTTTGCTGGATCTTCGGAAAGTATAGTATAATTCACATTCAACTTCAACCTGCTTCCATTCCCATTAGCCAAAGTATCTACTAAAAACTAGGAAACAAAACTTAGATACCAAAAATGATCTGACATAACAAATGAAAGAGCGTTCTGAAAATAGGCAACGATGAATCACTGGTTCATCTTCACTCTCCTTCAAGCTCAGCAGTTGATGATTTATCAACAACATATTGCATACCACCAGAAATTGACGAAAACCAGTATCTCCAACAACAGTACTCCCACTCAAATCTTTCCCCACACCTCTCCGTCCCTTTTAGCACAGAAGACCTAAATGCCTCTTGATAAGGGTACAGTGCTAGAAGCTGATAAGATAAGCCACCTAGTATAAGTACCTAGCGGTTGAAATTTCTACTTCGGAAAGGAAGAATTAGATCCACACAAAACCTGTATTCAAAAAAACAGAAGGATAGGACTAATAGGAGAGGAATAGCAAATGATAAAAATAATATGAAGTTGCTGGTTAAGAGGGCAGTGAAAGAGAATAGAAAAGAAAGAAAGATATGGCAGAGGCAAATTTGCCAATGACGGAAGGGAATGGCAAAAGGGGGAGAAAGGGGGGACAAAAAAAAGGAATGGGCAAAGGGGTGTCTGACAATTTTTTTTTTTATCAATCCTACCCTTCTATTACAGCCTGCCAAATCGGCAGTAATTGTGAGGAATTAGTAGATTTGAGCCCCAAAATAAAATTCGATCAGTTAAGCTTCAAGTCAAAGCAGCAGATATAAGGAGCAGATAGGATCTAAAATAACAATACCCTTTTCCCTTATTTTGTAACAAAACACCGACATGGAATAGACACAAGCACCAGATCAATTATTAAGCTCTTCTGTAACTACTATATATGATACTCTTTAATATATTAGCCTACGCAATTAGCCAGCTGAAACAAACCACTTTTGGATTAAATTTTACGAATTAATTATCGTATTCAACAATCAGCAAAACAAACAAAGAATTTAGAAAAAAGAACCACATCAGCTATAAAACATTCAACATACTTTAAACTGTATTTGAAGATTCTCTTCTTGATCTTCTATTCGAGGGTGCGACACTCTGATCGCCACATCCATCTCCCCAAGTCCATAGGAATTGTTTGCAGGAATGTGACCAAGGAAAGTCTTGCCAAATGCATCCACCCTACCTAGTGGTTGCTCACTCATAAACGCTTGAATATCTAGTGGTGTGATCTCCATACCTAACTCCATCCAAAAATGATAACAAACAGTTCAATAAATCTCACGAATTATGTACATAACTGAACAAGCAAACATTTGACTTCCCCTTAACCCCCATAACAGCAATCACGAAACACAATAATTTTCAAAAAAGCTGCATTCGATGCAAGCCAATTCACATCTGAATTTAACACCTAAAGTATACCATAAAACACTCCTAACCCTTCAAAATTATAGCCTTGGTTATGTATTTTCAGTAACCCCATTTGAACGCATCACACTATGAACTAATAGTGTAACGAATCACATAAACAAATTTGTCCACAATCAATATGCCAAGATTTACAGGTTAAATATATAATTGATCTTGCACATAAGCTTGGTTCATCCAAATTAGACCCATCTAAAAACATTTGATAAATGCCCACCACTTGAAATTGAAAGGGGCAAACTTTAAAGTAATTTAAACTATATTTTGGAGTTGATTCATTAAACTATCTAATGTATACAAAGCAATTAAGCAAGAGTTCCTCTTCTCATAATATGTATTCAATTTATCAATAGAACATTAACATAATAAACATACCATAAATTTTTAAATCAAACACAAGAAAATTTGAAAAGTAATGAAATTTAAGATTATAGATTGAAAATGGAAAAGATATTGAACTGACAAATGCTTACCTTTGTTGATTGGGAGATGGCCTGGAGAACTCGGGATGACTATGAGCCAATGAAGTGCTTAATCAATTAATACTTGTAATTAACTGTGCAGTAGTCGGTTGAATTTTAACCCTTTAACTCGAGTTTACTCGTGTCTTTCGGTTGTTTCATCTGACTTTTTACGGGTTTCAAGATACTATCTCGATCCCCCGTAACATTGATTGGGAGAGGAGCGGAATCTAACCACTAATAGTAGAACTGATCCTCAGATCCAAAAAAAAAAAAAAAACACTCAAATAATTTTTTTTTTAACATGGACCCATTTATTGTGTGAGGCTAAGGGTCTGTTCTGTTTTACCTTATTTTAACTTATTTCAGGTGTAATAAGTTCAGATAAGTTTAGATAAGGTTTAATAAGTTCTGATAAGGGTTACCCAAGTACAAATTAAAACTAAAATAAGTTTTAACAAGGTTTAATAAGTTCAGATAAGTTCATGTAAGTTCAAATAAGTTTAGATCAGTGAAAATCAGGTGAATAGAACACACCCTAAGAGAGCTTTATCATTCATATCTTCTATAAACTAATACTAAAACAAAACATGCTAAAATGTCTTATGTGTCAATTTCTCATTACAAAATTTCCCTCCAAATTTATATATGATGTCATCAAATTTTTATTTATTTATTTTTTATTTGCCTTTTCATTTTACTTGCTATAAACTAGGACCAAGTATATATGAAAAGGAAAAATCTAAAACTTGACTTTGAGTGTTTGACATCAGTATTGTAATGTTGTGCTTGCACTCTAAACGTATAACCTTATTAGATGATGCAATATTAAATATATTTTGAATAACCATCATTTTAATATATTTTTAATAATATAATAAATATTACTATGATGTAACATTAAATTATAACCGACCATATAAAAAAATGTACATATTTTCTTATACTACCTCCGGAACTTTGGGGTATTATTTGTGAAATATAAAATATTCCAAAGTTGCGAGTAATTTGGAACGGAGGTAGTATATATATTTATATAACATGTACTAAAGAAATATGAAAAAAAATACTTATCACTGCTGTGCAACGCGCTGGTACTAATCTAGTGGTGCAACTAAAAGAGGACAAAGGTAGTATGTCATAAATTTAAACATTTTCGTTTTTATTGTGTTAAAATTATATTAAAAAATAAACAAAATAATGTTCTCTTTGCATTATTTTTGGTTATAGATTAAAATTTATTTTTAGTTAACCAAACTTATTTTTGCTAAACTTAAATTATTTTTCTATATATTACTCATATTATATGAATAAAGAGAAAGAACCAAACCTAATAATAATGGTGAAAAACTCTAAGCTAATTTGACTATATTGCAAACATATCTCCTACCCGAATAAAATAATGATAATTTGTAGTCAAAGTTACTAAAGTTTGACCCACAAAAATACTATTGAACAATGAGGAAATTAAAGGAGTAAAACATTTTCATAGCGAGAAAATACAAGTTAAAACTGTATACGATCAAAACTTGTTTATATCAAGGGTTATTTTGTAAATTCAGCAGCCACACCCCTTTCTCTCTCCTCTATCACCATTCACCACAGCACGACCACTAGTACCACCCACCGCACCACCACACGACAATTAGCACTAGTGTGAGCACCACTCGGATGAGCAAATGCCTTTCCCTACGGGATTAGTATACATCCACTTTACATATTTTTCTACTAGAGTGTCTTTTGTTTGGTTGACTTGAGCCACAAAGGTAGTTGATCGCTGGCATGGCCATGAGATGGAAGGAGAGAAAAGGAATCTAATATATATATATATATAAAGGGGAGTTTTTTTCGAGTTTTTAGAGAGCCACGTAGGATCTAATTTTCTCAGCGCGCCATATAGGATTATAAATCTTAGTAGTAGCCTATATAAGAGATTATTAATTTCTTTTAGAATTAAATAATTTAAATGCCATGTAAGCAAAATTAGCGAATGAGATTTTTAAGTTTAAATTAATTAAATATTATATATTATCTTTTAATATTAGGAATTTTATCTAAATATATAACAAATTTTAGACTCATAAATACAAAAAAAAAAAAAAAACAGTCTTCAAAAAAAAAAAACATTATTTAAAAAAAATCAAACAAACCGTGCATCGCGCGGGATTCATCTAGTTAGTGTCAATAGGAGAGTATTTGCTTTACATCTTTACCAAAATAAAGTCATACTACTTGGTAGGGGTGTGCAAAAAAAAAAAAAAAAAAAAAAAACGTAACCGTTAACCGGTATAACCAATAAATTTAATAGGGTAATTAATCGAACTGTTAAAATTTAATGGTTATGGTTAACCGAACTGTTAAATGTAGCGGTTAACAGTTACGGTTACAGTTTTGAGTAAACGGTTAACCATCGATTAATCGTTTTGATTTAAAAAATATTTTTATTTACTTTCTTTGGAAAAATATATATATAATCATGCAAGTTTCTTCTAAGTGAATCTTTATAGGTTTGTATCCAACTAATTCGAACTTATTATTGTTTATAGTTAACTATGTATTAGGCTTGAAACTATTAAAAGAGAAAAAAAGTAATGATTTAAAATTTAATTAATGGTTCGCGGTTAACTGGTAACCGTACCATTAAGGAACGGTTAACCTTGATTTTTGGTAATCGCTCTAACAGTTAACAGTATCGTTAATGCTTAACGATACAGATAACCTAATGTGAACGACCCTACTACTCGTAATAGTGATTTGTTTTTAAAACTGCTTTTGTTGACCTTTTATGACTCTATGTAAACAAAACCCGACTAGCTCAATCAGAGAGGATCTTGTTCCCATTCGTAAATCACTAGAAGTAAATCGTGATGAGATGCTTAAAGAGTTGTGATTTGTGACCGCAGAGTACAAAGTTACATGTGTGGTTGGCTACGCCGTGTGGCCAGAATTATCCCTAACCGATCGAGTAATCCCTAATCGACCTAAGTAACCCCTAAATAATTAACTAGTAACCCTTGAATAAGCAACCCGACGGAAAGACCCTAGTGACAGAATGGTCCAACACCACCTACCAATCTACCATCGTACCTTATAAATATTCATCGTCTACACATTTTCAATTCGCAAATTTCTCTCTTTAAACTCAATACTTAAAATCATCCCAAAAATGGCGGAAGCAACCTCTGCAAGCGCCAGCACGTCTCCCACCACCGAACCACCGCAAAGCAGTTTAACCTCTCCTCTTCCTCCTCCTCCACCGGCGCCGGCGATTATAGTTTCCGGCGACTCTTCGTCGCAACTCTCCGGTAGCAGCATCTCTACTCAAACCTTGTCGTTTTCCTCCGGAAACCCTAGAATTGAAGAAACTCGAGGTGTCATGCATTTTTTCTCCAATGATGTTTCTTCTCCCTCACTTTCCCTTCTTCCGGTATACTTTCTCTCCATTTTTAATTTTGCTCTGAGTTTTTGCTGATTTTATGAATTTTAAGGGTTTAATTGGTCTAATTGAGTTGTTTGTTTGATAATTTAGCTTTGTGGAATCAAATATGTTGGTTCATATGATGTAATTACAATTTTTGATGGAATTAATTTTGGAGAGAGAAAAAATGGCTTAGTTTGAAGTGTGTATTAGATCATCAAAGCTGGAAATGTATCTTGATATCGATTTTCGAACAATTTATCAAGGAATTTTAATGTGAACAATTGGGTTAGGTTAATTTTTAAATTACCACCCAAAAATATAACCAATTTCGAACTAACCACCCATTTAATTTTTTATTTTAAATTACCACCCCTTAAATTAAATAAATGCTCAGATTACCACCCATTTCAAAAATCCGGTGGATTTTCCGTCTGTAGGCCCCGCCTAACAATTATTTTGACCCTTTTAACTGATTTTTTTCCCGATTTTCTCTTTAAAAACGCTCTCTAAACTTTTATTCATATTTCCTTCACCAAATTCTACCAAATTTCAAAGAGAAAATGTGAATTGAAGTTAGGGGAACCTTTTTAAAGAGAAAAATAGAGGGGAAAATCAGTTAAAAGGGTCAAAATAAGCGTTAGGTGGGGCCCACAGACGGAAAATCCATCGAATTTTAAAATGGGTGGTAATCTGAGCATTTATTTAATTTAAGGGGTGGTAATTTAAAATAAAAAATTAAACGGGTGGTTAGTTCAAATATGGATACATTTTTGGGTGGTAATTTAAAAATTTTCAATTGGGTTATGTAGTTTGTACTTGGTGTCTTGGTATGCATTAGTGTTATGGAACCAAGTTGTAAGATTACAATTAGGTTGTCTTGGTCTTGCCACCACCCCTCCCTGTTCTGCACTAGATTGGAGTCTTATTGGAGCTTTTAGAATAATACTACTTCGTACTATTGCGATCTTGCTAGATAGTATTATACCTTGTACTCCCTCCATCATGAATTCATCCTCTCTAAGTGAAACTTTGTAGACTTTGAGGTTGATTTTTGATAATTTGTATATTCCATTATTCTTGATTGGGGTTTTGTCTGAATGTATTGTGTTATTGTTGGGAGTCTTGAGACATCGAAACTATAAATGAATTGCTTGACTTTGAAGTCCTACAAGAAGTGTTGTTGTTGTTTCACTAGTATAACGCTAGGGTCACTTTCTGTCATAAAATTTTATTAGGGGCATCTTATCCTATCATGATTATGAATGTGGTATTGTTGGAGATGTTTAAAATTTGATTTTTTTTTTAAAGTCGGGGAGTAAGTTTTTTGAAACTGTAGAACAAATTAAAAGATTAAACAGCATAACAGTCTTGGAAAAGCAATAATTTTCTGTCCTTTTGGGTATAAGGAGAAAAAGGATGGGTGTTCCAGAGTCAAATTAATGAATTACAGCAATAAGTATATTCTTTAGTTTTCATGGAATCCTGTACATTCTTGCTGTGATGGACTGATGGTTACAAACCTTCATAATGATCTTCAAAATTTGTTACAAGTTCCATCACATTTTGATAATTATTTTAAGAAAGACCTAACCCACTCGTGATGATGCTTAGGTTGGCAGAAAACCTCTTGTATGTGTTCTTGGGGTTCCAAATCACATGACTTATGCAGATTTTTGCCGGTTTTCTGGTTCTTTTATCCAGCATATGCTTGAAATGCGGATTGTCAGGTGAGAAGTTTACATCTTAAGGGATTTCTTGTGTGATGTTTCATTTTCTATGCGTACTTATTGAATGTGTTCTGACTGTTATGTGTTCTGTCAAGGAATGATGAAATGGAGGACAGATATATTGTTCTGATTAGATTTGACAGTCAGGACTCAACAGATGGGTTCTACAAGCATTTCAATGGGCAAACATATTCATCTTTGGAGGTTGTTGACTTCAAAAACTTTTCTTTAAGTGTATGCAAAGTATTTTACATCTTTTTACCTTCTTTTTTGGTAAATTCTGACTGCTTATTTCTCTAGCCAGAAGCTTGTCATGTGCATTTTATCATTGATGTGCAATACACGGGCTCTATTGAACATGGACAAGCTTCTCTTGGGAACTCAACTGAGCAACCTACATGTCCAGTATGTTTAGGTATGTTTATCAGTTTTATGTATTTTTATGGCATATCTCTGTATTTCTTTTCACAAATTTTGTAGATTTGTTGCTACTATTGCATTGAATAATATTAAAATAACTAGTGTAAACATAAACCAAGTGGAACTTCTTTTTTTTTTTTTTTTTTAATTTTAAGATTATTTTCTCCTCCCTCTTTAGCATCTTAATTTTCTCATCAATCAATGTCTTGCTCCAAGCAAACTAGTGCAGAACTAATGGGAGTATTTAACCTTCTCCTGGATTAACCTAGATGCTTAGGAGCATTTATCAATTGAGGGTCGTACTAATGAGGCAATGTTGGCAGTTACCTTGTACATTCTTGGTGGATTTTGTTGAATAGACTAAAACTTGTGAATCACATTTTAGAAGTACATGACTTTTAGTTTTTTATTTTTAATCATCTTGTGTGAATATTTAATCACTAGAATTTGTTGACATATGACATGATTTGTTTACACAAAAGCATATAATTACACATACATGTCCGTACCACTAAAATTTATGTGGAAATGGCCATAAGCTTTGTCTTCTTTGCTTTTGCCCCTTGGCTTTTATGGTCTTTCTAAATGTTTGCTTACATGGCAGAGAGATTGGATCAAGAAACCAATGGAATTCTCACAACCATTTGCAATCATTCTTTCCACTGCTCCTGCATCTCTAAGTGGACAGATTCTTCTTGTCCTGTAAGCTTAATCTTTTTTGAATTTTACTACAATTTTGTTGTGTGCTATTGGTGTACTTATGTTGCTCATTCTTTAAGAACTGAAAATTGATGTCACGTGCTTAGAGTTCAGACTCCCCAAATAAAACTTTGTAACTTTTATGTGTGTTGATTACTCTATTTCTATTTGAGTATATTTTGTGCAATTGCGCCTATAGCTTAAGTGCTTATTTTATTGAAATACTTCTATAAATCAGAATTTTCTTATAACTAATGAGTAACATTTTGTTTTTTCTACCAAGCATATAATCCAGGGTTGTGAAATTTTGGTGATTCAGTTTTACCTTCCCCCAAACCCCAAGAGTGGTAGTTGTCTTGTTGGTTTCCTGCTTTGTGATTTTGCTAGCTTGAAATTGTTAGGAGATTTATTGATCATTGTTTTGCCTTTCCTGTTCTGGAATTAGAGGTACCAACCCTGGAATATCAACCTTTTGTGTGCTGCTAAGGTATTGCTGATTCTAATCATTACTCTGTTATGGTCATCATATAGGTTTGTCGATATTGCCAGCAGCAACCTGATAATTCAACATGTTTCGTTTGTCAAACCTCAGAGAATTTGTGGATATGCGTAATATGTGGTTTTGTGGGTTGTGGAAGGTAATAACTCTTTTTCTGTTATGAGAAAATTTTTGCATTGTATAACCCCGAGTTTCAACTTTCAAGTAGCTAATGCTAAGAAACTGTTATCATTATTCAAATGGCCAAAGGAACGTAAAGAAAAAAAATCAAAATAAAAACATCAAACAGTATATGTAATCCTGTCAAATAGACAAGATATTCTAATTGTTATAATTTTCTGACCAGGAAGCGTTTAATCCAGGTATAAAGAGGGCCATGCTATTATGCATTGGAAAGAAACACAGCACTGTTATTCCCTGGACTTGGAAACTAGGCGTGTTTGGGACTATGTTGGTGACAACTATGTGCACCGTTTAATACAGTCCAAAACTGATGGGAAGTTGGTTGAACTTAATGTTCCTTGTTCACATGCTACGCATGGCTGTGGAAGCTGTGAATGTAGTGGGGATCCTGGAATAAACGATGCTATTGTAAATAGTAAAGTTGAAGCTGTATGTTTTTTTTTGTTTTCTTAATTTAAAGCTATAGATCTTTGGTTTGTTGCTGCAAATTGCAGAGATTAAATTTCCCTGCACTTGGTTGTCTTACCAGATCGTAAATGAATACAATGAGCTTCTTTCCACACAGCTTGAGAATCAAAAATTGGTGAGGGCACCTAATGAATTTGTTTTACTATGTCTTGTGCATTGTTCTTTGTGAAATGATAAGTGTGCCATTTCTTGATCTGACTAGATCATTATTTTGGTTTGAATTTGCAGTATTTTGAATCTTTGTTGCAAGAGATTAAAGAAGAGACTGAAAAAGATATAGCTGAAGCTGTTGGCAAGGCTGTGAGCTTGAAATTGCAGAAATTGCAAGCAAAATTGGATAGATGTATCAAAGAAAAGAAATTTCTGGATGATGTATGTGTCCGACTCAGGTTCTGGCTAATAGCTGGATAGATTTCTTGTGCTAGCTTTTGTCATCTATGAATATATTTGTTTATATTTTCGGTGGTTTTACGAACATGAACTTAGACCCTTGTGTTCAATGATTGATTGCAGATTAATGAAAATCTATTGAAAAATCAAGAGATTTGGAAAATTAAGATACAGGAGATTGAGGAAAGGTAATTCCAATTTCTTACCTTGCTTCAATATATTATGATTGTGGGAAATCGTCAAACAATTGTTGATGTAGGGATCCTCCTTTTTATATTTTATACCACAGGATGCTACATTCTACCATAACATTTGCATTTACCAATCACCTCTGACACAAAATGGTTTTGTTCAAAGTTGATGATGTATCAAAATCAGGAGATGGATGTGTGATGAATTGTAAATGGTGACACATGACCCTGACCTTGTTATGGACCTTCTGTGAATTAAATTCCTTGTTTGTTCTGATGTACGTCGAGTACAACTGTACAAGTTTAGGAACTAATATTAACGTTCCATGGATGAATCAGTTTGTGTCTGACTGGGTTTTACTTGTGCATTTAACTGTGTTTTTGACACAAATAACAGTTTGTGCTTTCTTTTTTTTTGTTTTGAGTGTGCAATATCGATGTGGTCGTTGAGTGTAAGAAAAAAGTGGATAAAGAGAGGGGGTGTAAATATTGTAGGGTAACAGGGGTAAGGTAGTAAATGAGATTATTCATAAATAGAATTATGCAAAAGTGTAAAGGACTTTGGAATAGCAAAAATGGAAAGTGCAAAGAACTTTCAGGAACAGAGCTAGTAATGAATAACACCAAGAAAATTAGAGGGGGGGGGGGATATAGTGGGAGTAGTTGCCTTAAAGAAGCATAACCTCGATGCTTGTAACCTTTTCCATTCTTTGAAAAATTCTTAAGTAAGTGAATTTTTGATCTTGTGATTACTTGTTTACTCGCTAATTGGCTTAGCAGAGGTAATTGTTTCTATCTTGTTTGTTTGAATGCTTCAGCATAATGCTTCTGTAAACTAGTGTAATAACTGTTTTTTGAGTTCCCAATTGTTATATCTGTTGAAGAGATTAATTGGTGGTGGTGGGTGAGCTCAATTGAAGGTGCTTTTGAAGCTTGACTGAGTGATGTAATAAACCCCTGGGAGACGGGCTGGGAAACTTACTTTTTCCTGGGGAAAGTTGAAAATTCGTAGGCTTGAATATTTTTGGAAGAGTGCTTTCACCTACATGTTTATTTTCACTCTGCTTTATTATTGATGAAGTTTCTGCTACATTGTATTATGAATATATCCCATTTTGATGGTATCCTTACAGTACAGAGTTAGTTGTTTCTTTTGCAAGTCGAATGATGTTGCATAGGGCTACTGAAGTGTACAATTTATATGTTGCTGCAGGGAGGAGAAAGCTGTGAGACTGAAGGATGAAAAAATACGAGATCTTGAAGAACAGGTTTGTCATTTTGTTAAAATGGTCATCTTCCAGGATGTTCCTTCTGTTTTGGCCTAGCTACCTTTGGAGCATCTGATGATAACTCTCGTGCAATCTTCTGTGTCATTGCAGCTTAAAGACTTGATGTTGCACCTTGAAGCAGGGCAAGCAGTGGAGCAGCTATCCATTTCTGATGAAGTAGATGATGGTGCTGTTTTGAAGTTAGGAGGTGAATCCTCTACCAGAGCCATCAAATCTAAGAACCGGAAGAAGAGGTGAAGCAATTAGTTCAATCTATGGCAAAGATAGCTTTAATGGGGGATGATACTTTGTTTGCACAGTCACTTGGATTGAAATGGGTGAACCAGAGTTTGTTATACGTAAATATAAGTGCGTGTTCTGGTAGTTTCTTAGATAACAGAATACAGGAGTAGCAATATTGAACATTATGGCTTGTCAAAAAAAAAAAAAAAAAAAAAATGTTGAACATTATGGTCTTCACTGGCATGAAGTCTCTAAACTTTCTTGAAGCATTCTGCCCTAAGGTCAGGCTGGTGATGTCGCTGTTACATACATTTGCTAATTAGCTTTTGAGCTTATATTAAGGTACTGACTGTACAGCTATTTAGTGATATACTGTTATCTGGTAACCTTGCAAATTGTAGTAGATGTGAGGGTGTTGTGTGTTAAATACTATGAAGTATTCGATTAGTTACTGGAAAGAAAAAGATTTTCCTGACATTCTAACGAGGGTCTTATACAACATTTGCATCATATTCATACGTATAATTTTGTTAAGAGAAACTTATGCTAGACAAAGTAGACATAAACTGGTACAAATCTTAGTGAGATAGAGTGATTGTTTGGTTGAAGATGGATTAATTTGAATCCTGTCAAAATTGTGGTTTAAAAAGCCTGGTTTTTCATTTCAATTTTAATTCTCAATTTCTCATCCATCGTTCTCTAAACTTGAGTAAACTCCTTTCAACCATGTCAACCACTAGACCTCAATTGCCATAATATAAGACTCACGGCTAAAAATTTAAAATTTAAAAATTAAAATAAAAAAATAATAATAAATTGTGTTGAAGTTTGAAAATCAATTTCTAATCAAGGGAGTAGGGAGCAAGAATATATATTGTTTTTTCTGAAAAAATCAAAACTATTCAAGGCATTTCTTTTGAACTTTTATTTTGGGATTTCTTAGTAAATTTTCAACAATAAAAGTTATAGCTTCAACAAACAAATTCTCAACTACAAGTAAAAGCAAAATTGGTCTTAACACCTTGAATTATAGCTTAGGTGCATTTTGCACCTCGAACAAAAAATTATGCTTAGATTCCCTAGATATTACAACATAGGAGGAGGACACGGGTGTTAAGAAGAAAAGAGAGATTGAGGGGAATAAGGAGGGATCTATGTGGTAAAAAGAGAGGAAACGTGTATAATTAGGGAAATGTTACAGTACTTATTAATTTATTTACAATTGTTAATGTAGGGCAATACAACCATAAGTATCAAAATTTTATTATTTGTCTCATAAATGATCATGCATATAAGGTAAGTAAAAAAATCTAAAAATAATTTTAACAAAGAATAAAAACGGTAAAAATCTCCATAATTACCAAAGATAAGATCAAATCACCCGCCAAAAAAAAAAAATTAAAACTCCCAAAATTAAGTACTCTGTTTTATAAAAGCTCCGACTACTATGTCCTATATATACTGCTTAATTCTTGATCAAACCCACCAAAAATCAAACCTCCATTTTCAACACCAACACAAAATCATTAAAAACCTTCAAAAACTCTCCCAAAAACAACTAAACCATGATAATCCCAATATACAAAATAGCAAGACCTTCAGAATACTTGGCCATAACAGGCTGGAAAATCCAAGACATTAAACTAGCCAAGAAAGCTCTCATTCTTCCCGGCCAACGCTACGTTCGTGTCAATGTATCACCTGTCAACTACACTTTCAATGTCCAAGCCATGAGTGCAGAGAAGCTCCCTTTTGTGCTCCCTGCAGTCTTCACTATCGGCCCTCGAGTCGATGATGATCATCATGCTTGTCTTGTTCTGTATGCTAAGCTCATGGCACCCCATGACATGAACTCTGATCATGTTCATCAACTTGTTCAGGGTATTATCGAAGGCGAAACTCGGTTTCTTGCTGCTACTATGACTATGGAAGAGGTGTTTAAGGGTACTAAAGAGTTTAAGAAGGAAGTGTTTGAGAAAGTTCAGTTGGAGTTGAATCAGTTTGGACTTTTTATCTATAATGCTAATATTAAGCAGCTTGTTGATGTTCCTGGTCATGAGTATTTTTCTTACTTGGGTCAGAAGACTCAAATGGAGGCTGCTAATCAAGCTAAGGTAACATTTTCTTGATTCTTGGAATTTTGATTTATGGGTTTTTTTGGTTTTGTTTTTATTTTGTTGTAATTCTTGAAGATTTTGATCCGGGGTTTAATTTGATTAGACAAAAAATTTGTTGAATTGGGATTTTTGTGTTTTTAAATGACTTGAAAGTGCAATGTTTATTGAAATTTTTGCATGAGATACAATGTTTATTGAGTAATTGTTAATTGGGGAAATATTAGAAATTCAGAAGAAAAAAAAAAAAGAAAGAAAGTGGAATTGTAATAATCTTGAATTGCTAGTAAAATTGTAACGTAGTATATTTTCTAGTGTTAATGATACCATGTTGTTTAAGTCCAAGAAAATATGTTAATTAAGCAGACTTATGTTAGTATGTTATTGAATTTTGGAAAATATATATGATTGATCTGATTTTAGTATGTGTTTGTATGTTAAGGTGGATGTTGCAGAGGCGAAGATGAAAGGGGAGGTAGGAGCAAAGCAAAGGGAAGGGGAAACAGCGCAAAATGCAGCGAAAATTGATGCAGAAACTAAGATCATATCCCTTCAGAGGCAAGGAGAAGGCAAGAAGGCAGAAGTCAAGGTTAAGAGTGAGATTAAGATATTTGAGAACCAGAAGGAGGCTGATGTTGCTAAAGCAAATGCCGAGCTTGCTGCTTTGAAGGCTGGTTGGTCTAAGTCGGCTCAGTTGGCAGAAGTTGAGGCTGCGCAGGTTGTTTCCCTTCGAGGGGCCGAGTTGCAGGTTGAGGTGGAGAAGAAGAATGCTCTCACAAGGACTGAAAAACTTAGGGCTGACCTCCTCAGTAAAGCCACTGTTGAGTATGACATCAAGGTACTGATTCTAATGAATTTTTGCTAACCTTGTTATGAGCATATGATTAACATTTTGTTTTTCTTATCTAGTTCAGGTTTTTTTACTGAGGTTATTAGCTAGCCATTAACAATTTTATCCTTTTGTGCAAGTATTTATCTAGTTGATGTTTATGCTTATGTAATGATATTATTTCTTTGTTATATATTTGCTAGCTCTGTAGAATTATTGATGATAAAACTTGTATGTTATTGATGCTATGTTAGAATCTCTTTGCCTCTGAATTTCCATACCTGTTGAATTTGGTGAAAAGGTCATAATTTGCAGTTTAAGATAAGCCAAGTTTTTGTTGGTTAGTTTGTAATTTGGTTGTACATGATACCTTGAGCAATGTGAAGAGTATGCCCATCTTTTACAAAGGATTTGAGAAATTTTGTCAAATTCTTGAGTATGAACCATATGAGGTAAGGATATTGAATTGTTATAGCATTAATCCAAAAATGAATGAAGTAGTACAAATTTTAGCATAAAGTAATTATCTTCAGAGTTGAGGGCACCTTAAAGTTGAAATGCTAACCAAATCTGGTAATGGAAATATGAGCTGCATGCAATTCTGACCCTGTGACACATTCTGTTTGCACTGTGTTTTGCAAAATAAGCTTCTATCTGGATACTATATCTTGTTGCTTCCTTCTTCTCAACTTCCTATGCTGTGAAAAGGCGTGTGGCAATGTAATGATTTTAAGGCTTAATCCCATTCACTGATCTTAATAAATACCAGTACTTTAAATGACAGAAGATACTAATATCAGAAATAAATGTGAGTAATAATTTTCTGTTTAATCTCCTTGTGTTACTTCTTGCTTTGAATTAACATGCAAACTCTTGGTTTATCAGGTTCAAGAAGCTAATAGAAACCTATACAACAACCAAAGAGAAGCGGATGCGATTCTCTAGAGGATGCAAAAGCAAGCTGAGGCAGTAAAGGCATCAGCAGATGCTGCCTTCTACACTCGCCAGCAAGGAGCTGATGCAGAACTCTATGGCAAGAAGAAAGAGGCGGAGGGAATCTCGGCCCTTGCTCAAGCCCAAGGATATCACCTCATTACCCTTCTCAAGGCCCTTGATGGAAACTATGCAGCATTGAGGGACTACATGATGATCAATTCTGGAACATTCCAAGAGATGGCTAAGATAAATGCTGACGCTGTGCAGGGTTTGCAACCAAAGATCAGCATCTGGTCACAGGATCTGGTGGGGCCACCTTGGGGGGTGGAAATGGGTCTGGTGGATCCATGAGAGATGTGGCCGAGATCTACAGCATGCTGCCGCCACTAGTGAAGACGGTCAACGAACAGACTGGGATGCTGCCTCCTGCTTGGCTTGCCACTCTGACTGATGGCAATGGTTCTGTTGCTGGAACTGCCAAGTGAGGTGGCCTTTGAATACATGAACTTGACTCGTTAGCGGAGACTATCTAGTTTTTGTCACTAATTAGATGTTAGGTTATTGGAACATCATATTATGATGTACCCTGGTTTGTTTTGTTATATGCTGTTATACACATACATTCTAGGAAAATTTTTCTGGTTTTAATCCATACAATGATACGAACTACCATTTAGTTGCAAATTGTGTCCTGTTTATGATTGCAGTTTGCTCCTGGTTTTGTTATTCTTACAAAAACTCAACTAGATGTTTGTTTTGTGGCCTTGTTGTCTAGAAAATAATCTAAAAACAAAAGGAATACTGTTTGACTGTACGATTAATCATACAAGCTCTATAGCAGGAGCGTGTGCCCAAGGCTGGAGATATTATGCATGTTGAGAACATGAGAAGCCAGTTTATATACTATATAATTATCATAGGTTATGTTAAATGACATTTATTTTCCTGTAAAAACCAAGGTCTCATTGTAGAAAATATGAACTGATCTCACAGAAGAATGTTCGTAACTAATAAATACTTTGTAATTTATTAGCACAATCAAGACCTGACAGAATTGCTTAAGCTTACAGTGAGGCATCAATAGAACTGTAAGTTCTTAAATCTTAATGATACTGAATCATTCTTTTGCTAAAAGTACAACTCTAGACATGGTTCGTGGTGTCCATGAAACTCAAACCACCTTTTCAGCTTCCTCAACACTTAATGGAATTCCTATATCTAATCTCATAGTTGGCATATATTGCTCAGGAACTGCAGCCCCAGCTTGAACACACAATTCCACCACTGCAGGTGCCTGACCATAAAAGCTTCGAAGTTCCCGCTTCATTGGAGGACCATTGACATCCGGCACATGCCACACATATCTTGGGGGTATTAGGTCATCAAGTACTGCCCTTTGCCAACCATGCTGTCCATTCCGTTGCTGGTGCTTATAGGCTCCACAGTTTTGAGCCTTGTGCCCTGAAGAACCCACATGCACCTCGGGGCAATACCCACATACCCTAACTGGATACATTTTCATCAACTTATTGGCTCCTTTTCTCATCCTCTCCCATGCTAAAAGTGTTTCTTCAGCGAGTAAGACAGTTTCCTCAGCACTTGATGGGGGTACTATTTCTGCATCAGGAATTTCAGATAATATTGGAACTCTGGGAGTTTCTGGTTCAGGATCTGGCAAATGACTTTCATCTGCATCAATAAATTCATTTTTCCCAATTCGAATAACAGCCTTCCTTCGCCGCTTCACAGGGTATTCTGGAAGATTAACTCCAGCTTGGATGCAAAGTTCTACCACAGCAGGGATACGAGGAATCAAAAATCTTTCATCATGAGCAATACGCTTCCTGAGACGGTCATGCAGATGGTAAGAATCCACAGGGACTAAAATGTCTTCCACCACAACACCTCCCCAGTCATGACAACCATACCGACTTGATGCTCCTGGACCCCTACAAGACTTGAAAGGGTGCCCGACGGGTCCAACATGGATCTCATTGCAGCCTCTACACAGCCAATAAATTAAATAAAAATGAATACAAAAATCACTTGTAGTAATCAGAAAGAAGATTTTCTAATATTCCTTGGTTGTTATCTCATGTATGACCACAATTTCCTTTAGTTGCAACATGTGTTTTAATTAAATTCGTCGAGAATAAGAAGCCCCATACATAACAAGGACAATCTAGATATATGAGCATTACAATCATTATCCAGAATAAAATGTGCAGATGCATGCAACATTGATATATGATACTCTTCCAACTATCAGGTAGTTCGACTCTTTAGGACGACGACAAAATCAAGTGTTACAATACTTAACTACTCAAAATTACTTGTTCAGACATCGATAATAATCTTCATAAAAAAATGCTCACTACAGCCAAATTGCATAAATGGTATATGCAGGTACATGTAGAAACTAGCAAATTATAGAATAAGAATTTGACAAGAAATATTACTTGCATGCATGGACTTTCACAACTTTCAAGAGCTTCTTCAAATTATTTATCAATAAAATCCTCGCATTCAGGACATCATAAGCAACTGGTACTAGGCTCTTCACCAGCAGGCCATTCTTTGGTGGTGGCACAGGTTTCCTAGGCTGACCTCTGCTATTCTTTAATCTCTCTCTGGCTGCTCGCCTCAGCTCTACTATAGGAATTGGAAAAGGCTTCTTTTCCCTCTTTGAGTAATATTTAGGAAAATCAGCATTTTGGGGATGATCATTCTTAATGACCAAAGAAGAAGTATGGCTTGAACTTTGAGGCAGAATTCTATGCTTCAATAACAGTTTGGATAGATTGCCACACTAAAGGAAGAAAAATCAGAACAACAGAGTTAATCCAGAAACCCGAGCAAGCTAGTTACACGCATACACAGGGTACATAGAATATGTATTCAAGTAATTCAACCTATATCATGCTCAAAATTTTACAGAATGCAAAGGAAGATTACAAATTTACAACAACTCAAACTAATGACAATTACTTTTAAAAAATTTGTTCCAGGCTCTTCTAGGACCAAATATTGATGAGAACAGCAATCAGCTAAAATTTGAATTACAATAAATTGAGAGATGAGTATCAAAAGTGTTATAATATCATATTAGGCATCAGTTTTAGAGCACACAAAAAAGTTTAATTTGTTCTATAAAAACTATAACATACAAAGGAAGATGGTTGGGAAATGTGGATAGAGAGGTTTCTCCAGTTTTTTTAGTATCTTTTTGTTTTTTCCCTTAAATTCTTCTACTCTTGCATATGACTATTTTGCCTCCTACTATTCTAAATCTGAATTGCAATGAGGATGGACCAACTAGATTCAAGGAAAGAACGAAATAGAGAAAAGGGTGAAGGGTGACAGAAGATGTCAAAAGTATATTGGCCAGTGAATAAGATCATTTTTTCTAGGAAATTTCTGGAGATCCACTATTAACACTGTTGGTTTAAGCATTTGGTTTGTTGGTGCTAGCTTTATAAATAAATATCAAAGAAAAAAGGACAAATATTTTCAGAAGGGTGTGTTCCTACATATATTCTATCATACCATTCGTTCCATTTCCCTAAGAAAAATTCTAAACAATCAACTGTCTATAACATAGGGGCAGCCACTGATTACCAGTGCTTAAAGTCATAATGGAAACATGCAGGCAGCAAGATTCGCCAAAATACAGTGCCATCACATTTTTCTCCGCACCTCTTCCTTTTCCCAAAACACAGATTTTAAATTTTGCAGTCAGCAGAATGTGATGCAAATCTTTTTTTTTTTTTTTTTTTTGGCAGTAGATAATCATCTAGATCTCATTATTTCAAAAGAGTACAAAGCTGAAGAACTGAGGCCTCATCATGACCACTCACAGTTAGGTAAGATAACAAGCTATGACAATTTCAAAGAAGATAAAAAAGGGAACAGGGATTTGTAGAGTGGCAATGCAGAAGCAAATACAAGTTTCATTCATGTACCTAAAAACTTGAATCACAACACATACAACGACAAAAGGTGTAACATACCTTCAAATGATTAATAAAACCAAGATCAGAGTACCCATTGAGCTTCACAAACTCTGATTTTCTGCTGTAGGAAACACCGGGTAAAGTATTACGACTAAGCAAGACACAATCATTAAGGTAGCCTGAATTCATAGGGCATGCTTGTAGTTGAGATGAAGTCCCTGTAAGAATTATAAGATGGAATTATATGTGGAAAACATCTGATAATTTAGGAGCTTCACTTCCTGGCTTCCTGACAACTTTAACATGAAGGTACCAACTGGATTTTTCTTTTTTTTCTTTTTTTTTTTCTTTTTAATTATTTTTTTTTTAAAGGAGGTAGCAACTGGATTTGAATACACATCATGCACAAGTAGATAATTATTTACTCCAAGGAGGTTATGGCAAAGCGAAATCACCAAATATTTCTAGGATCACTTGCACAGCTCTGAGTTACAAAGGCCTCAAAAGACATAAATGCAGGTAGGGAGGTGACTAGTAAACTCTTCTCGGGAAACTTTTTAAGAGACTTAGCAAATGATGCAAAATTAGTTGTTCTGCATTCTGCTCAGCTAAGTTCTAGTACAGTAAAAGATAAAGGTGTACCTCCTAATGCTGGAGTCACTGAACTTGGCTGGAGAACCACCAATGGCATCACCAGGGATGGACTGAGTAAAGAACAAAAGGGTCATTTCCATCAGCATGAAAGTTTGAAATAATTTAACTTTGTTAACTCATTTCTGCTACCTTATGTCAAAGATTTATACAAAGAAAGCTCCAGGGAAACAACAAACAAACAGACAAAGATCAATACTCAAAGCAAAGTCTCTATTACCATAACTTCAATTGTAACTACACAATAACTGAAGGACTGAAGGTTGTATGAGACTTCATCATAATAATGAATCTGATCCATCAACATGTATGTAATTTTATCGCCTTTGCACTAAAGAGTTTCAACTGATAATCAGGTTAGAAACTTGAGCTGTACCCTTTCTTAATCAAACATAAAACCAAATAATAATACATAAATGGTCCTAGCTTCTTATATTTTGTTAATTTCCCAATTTCACATGAAATTCTTTATGATGCAATTCTCAAGAGTTAATAATTGAAATTTTACTATATTCACAAATACACATCCAGTTCATATTCTTAGGAATTTCTACTTCCTATAGAATGCGAAAGCTGTTTATAAAATATAAAGCCTGGCAACTGAAGAATTTCGAAAGAAGTCAATCAATCATTGTATCACACTCATTAATTATGGAATGGCATTTTCCTTACAACTTTATCTCCCAATATCCAACCAAACAACCATTCATTTTAAACCGAAATCAGGAACTTACTTCCCCTCAAGCCCTAACTACAGACAGGAAGATGATAACCATTGAATTATATTCCAAATTTGACACTTATATCTGCAACAATGAACCCCTTTCTCTATACATTACTTCTTTTTCAATTTTTTCTACGAAATTCCCCTTATTATTGGCATCCTCGTAAAACTACTCTTTTCGTCCGGATATAGTTGTCACATCACACATTCAAATTACACTATCAACGTGACTATTAAGTATTAACCCGGATAGAGGAAATAATAAGCGCTCGGTAGTGTGTTATAAACCGGAAGAAAGAACAATAGCAATCAACTAACAACCTCCAAAATAATCAAAAAATTATTCCACTGAATTCCTAATTGTTTTCATCAATTTATCAGTAAACATGAATTAGATGCCTTTCCAGAACAAAATCAAATACAAGTAAAAGTATTTTATAAATTACATACTTTTATCTACACAATAAAAACAAAACTTTATACAAAAAATTCCAACTTATTATTGCAGTTTCAATAAATAACTTAAGCTTAAAATCATACCTCCTTATTCGTCACTGAAGTTCCAATTTTTTTTCAAATGGGAAAGTTTGAACAATAAAAAGGGTTGTGGATTCAGTATTGGCAACAAATGAGTAGCTCCAAATTGACGTAGTTCAATTCAACTTGAATTTAGCTGGGTAATCTTTAATTAAACCAATGAATAATTACTGTTTCTGGGTATTTTTTGGAAATCGGGGTTGAATTGAAGAAACAGAGCAAAAGCACATAAGGAACAAGAAAAGAGACTGAGCAAACAAATGAGTTGAGAGAGATTGTGGCCTTTATTGAGGGAATAAGAAGATAATACTCCGTAAGATAGAAAAAGAGGATAGTAAGAAAAAAATGGTGTAATGGACTAGTGGTGTATTTTTTTCCTTCTTTATTTGGGATCAAAATCACAGCCTTAAAGATTAATCCGTATGCGTAATTTAAGAAATGCTTATAGGTAATGTACGTATTAATGTATCATAATTATGGGCACAAGTCATGTTATCACCACGCCACCACGTGCAGTGCTAGTATATCTCATGCTCAAGCGAGTCGTGCTTAGAACGAGCTAAGAAATAATCATGTCGTGTTAGACTCATGCTGCTCTTTTAAAATAAGAGCCCATAACCAATCTTATTCTTTGTAATAAGAATCCTTATGCTACACTGTGGGAAGTACAATGATTAGCTGTAATAATCCAGTTTACTTTTGTTGTAATAGGGTATCAAGTGAGGTTGTGTCTAAAGCCCATTCTCTAGCTCATAGGGCTAGAAAAGAAAAATGGGTCTGGATAGTCTCCCCTTTGCTTGTTTGCGTGTTGTAAAAAAAAAAAAATAAAAAAAAAAAATCTTATTCTACATTATTACTGTTATTATTACTTTATTAATTTTCAACCATCTAGCGTTTGAAGTTGTTCCTCTTGTTTTGCAGCTACTGAATTTTAACCTCTCTTGTAGTGTTTGATTCTCTGCTTGGTCCTTAACTCCTTATTAGCTAATCTATCGGCTTCGTTCTATCATCGTCCATCTCAAGCTCTTAGACATCGTGTCACATAATGCGCTTTCCTAGCTGCTTCATCCTATTTTGCAAGGTTAAGGTGGGATACAACTTTTTTTTTTTTTGACATAAAGGCTCGCAAGGTGGGTTGCAACTTGCAAGGGTAGATTAGCTTCGTTTACGAATGATAACTTGTGCAATCTCTTGTAGTCTTGTGGGAGAATATGTGTCGCATTTTATTTATTTGATTCTCCTACTCCCTCTGTTATTTTTATATGCATCAGTTTGACCGCCACATTTGCCGAGACGTTACTTTGATCATTAATATCTTTAATTGTGCACTACTAAAAATTGTAACAAAATTATATTATGAAACTAAACATTATGACAAATCTAATGACATACTTATAATAATATTTATCTATTTTTAAGAGGTGAAAAATTTTAAGTCAACCATGTATGTGAATAGTGCAATTAAAGATATTACTTATTACGAAGTATATAATAACATTTATTTATTTTTAAGAGGTGAAAAATAAGTCAACCATGGTATGTGATGCATATAAAAAAAACGGAGAGAGTATTACTTGGTTTGTTTGGCATTGTTGCGGTTTTCAGTTTTTTGATTTTTTGTATTTTAAAAGTGTATGATATATGTCATATAATGAATAAAAAAATTAGTCAAACTTATTAAAATCATGCTAATTTTGAAAACTGACAACAAAAAAATGAAAACACAGTTTTCTTGTTTCCTGTTTTTGGTTTTTTTGTTTTCAAAAAAACTGAAAACTGAAACAAAAAACAATGCCAAACAAGTATTTTTTTACCGGTAGTCTTTTGGTTGTACAAATGGTTTTCATTAAATGAACTTCTTGTAATAAAATTATTTAAAAAATAAAAAAATAAAATTACAATCCCAAATTCAGTATAAACTTTTCTAAAAAAAAACAGTATAAAAAAATAAAGTAAAAAAATAAAAATCCCACCGTAACGAATTAACGACTTCCTAAATCTCCAAACCATAAAAAAATCATCTTTCCTCTTTAGGGTTCTTCCTTCACATTTCGTAGTCCTCTGTCCTATCTTGGCAAATTTCACAGCACAAAACTCCCATTTAAAAAGGTAAAACCCTAATCACCTATGTTGTTATATGGATTAATTCTTGAAATATTGTTCAATTCAATTCAATTCACATGTCAGATTCAATAATTGGGGAAAATTTGGTTGTTCTGCAAATTAGTAATTGTGGCTTATTTGTTAAACATCATCTTAAATTTAAATGCTACATATTTGAATTAGAGAGGGTGTTCGTTGATTTTGGTATTTCTTTATCAAATTGTCTGTTGAATTATAACGAATTAGCACCATTACTAGAATTGTCTACTTTGTTCTTAGAACTCTTTTAACAGATTTTGTAATTTTTGTATGTTCTACTACATTATTGGTATAATTTAATGGTCTTATCAAGTAATAGGTTTTTAAGGAATTAAAGGGGCCAGCTTTAAGCTTATAATTTGTGATTCAGGTGGAGTTTAAGTTGCTAGTTGGCTTTGTAGCTGAGAAAAATCTAAGAGGGAAAAGAAATTAATGTGGTTTCGTTTTGTCTAGTATTTACATCAATGGTTGATTAGTGTACTAATGATGTTAAAAGGTGGTTATTAACTTATGGATTGCTTATTTGCATGTTCACTATATTATGAGGATATATAATCTTTTATGTTGATGGCTATGATTGAATGGATTCTTTGCTTAAAGGAATACAAATGGACTTATTTCATACGAGTAGTTAAAGTAACTCCGTATGGTGGCATTATGATGCATCCCTATTGTATGATCATCTTATGCATTACTTTGCTAGCTATTGATTTTTTGAGGGAGAAAATAATGGTTACCATCTTTGTTACAATGATTTAACTTTGTTGACCTTATCTATCACATACTATGTGCTACACTTATATTTTTAATTTAGCATTTTTAAGCAAGGTAGCAAAGGAAGATCTTGCGAGAGCCAATTCAAAAGGATCATACTTCCTTCGCTTTTTTTGACAAATTTTGGAGATAACAGAGAAAGAGAGGAAAATAGAGGACCCATGTGATAGGAGAGAGATGGAGAAAATTTTTATCAACTAAAAGGAAAAGTGATGCATCTAAATTAAACTTTCCCATATAGAAAGTGCTGCATCTATGAAAAACGAAGGAAGTATAGAATTTCCTAAAGGGGAAGATGCACCAGTGCACCGCTACTCTTGGCCCCTTTTAGACTGAAATTTTTTATGTTTTACTGGGATAATGAGATTACAACATGATTGCTTAGTTTGTGCCCTTTGTGGTTTTGGTGAATGAATATTAGGGCATCAGTGGCAGCCCTGATGCATTCATCAATATGGAATTGAAGATTTTTTTTTTTTCTTTTGGTATTTACACTGAAGTCTTAGTATTTGTTTCTTTAGCTTTCAATATGTGTATTTAGGTAACTTTTGTGGTGGTGTTTTGTGGTTTGGTATCCAATGAAATTAAAGACATGAATTTTTTTTTTAGTCTTGCTGACGTATGGCTCTCTTTTCAGAGAGAACTTATGTCTTTTCTTTTTGGTGAACAACTATATGAAGGGATCTTATCCCAAGATTGTGTCTAGTTAATGAATGGCACTGCACTTTTATGGAATTGTTTTCTATTAGTCATCTATGTGATTTCAATGAAGGAAAGAGATGCTTTAAAATTATATAAAATGGCTCTACTGCCTTGGAAATTGTCCAAGCTAATGTGTTCCTTTCAAATTTTCAGTTAAGAGTACCATCAGTTTTGATATGATGTATCACCTTCATAGATTGCTATATGCTTCTAAGTTAGAAAAGGTAGTTATGGTCCTTGTAAAAGCTGGGGAATTTGAAGATATGTACTAAAAGCCGGACCCTTTTAATATATAATAAAAAGTTTTAAGCGCGTGTGTTATGTTCCATCACTGTCTCAAAAAGGTTCTTGCATGAGATGAATAATTATCCAGATATGAATTTTAACATCCCATCCTTTCGCATAGGTTTAATTGTGACTCACTACTGTGCACCTATTCTATACTTCTTGTAATTGTGCTAAAGGCCATTTTTCTTTTCATGTCCAGCTTGTTGTGGGAGTGTGCTACATGCAGACTACACCCTACGCTAGGAAGTTCAGTTTTAATGGACACTTTGCCAGATGCATTGATATGGGACATTTTAAGTAGGATTTCCCGGACTGAAGATAGAAACTCTCTATCTTTAGCTTGCAAGCGCCTCCTTGAGCTTGAAAATGAGCAGAGACTATTTCTTCGTGTTGGTTGTGGTCTGAACCCAGCAAATAAAGCTTTAAACACTCTATGCAACAGGTTTCCTAACCTGATGAAAGTGGAAATTGTTTACTCTGGGTGGATGTCCAAATTGGGGAAACAGTTGGATGATCAAGGGCTTCTTGCTCTATCAAACAGTTGCCCTTCTCTTGCAGATCTGACATTAAGTCACTGCACCTTCATTACAGACGCTGGTATTGGTTACTTGGGATCATGTTCAGTACTCTCATCCTTGAAATTGATTTTTACTCCTAGAATAACTGGCTGTGGGATTCTCTCTGTTGTTGTTGGCTGTAAGAATCTCAGTGTGCTGCATCTTATTCGATGCTTAAATATAAGTAGTGCTGGGTGGCTTGAATATCTTGGTAAACTCGAAAAAATTCAATACCTTGTTATCAAGAATTGTCGGGCTATTGGAGAAGGTGACTTGGTAAAGCTTGGATATAGTTGGCGGAATCTAAAACTTTTGCAATTTGAAGTGGATGCCAATTATCGATACATGAAGTTATACGACCGCATAGCAGTAGACAGATGGCAAAAGCAATTGATCCCATGTGTTAATATAAAGGAACTGAGCTTGATAAACTGCATCATCATGCCTGGCAGAGGTCTTGCTTGTGTTTTGGACAAGTGCAGTAACTTGGAGAAAATTCACTTGGACATGTGTGTTGGACTTAGGGACGCTGACATCGTGGGCTTATCTCAAAGCTCAAAAGGTCTACGGTCAATTTCTCTCCGTGTTCCGTCAGATTTCTCAGTACCTCTTCTAATTAGCAATCGCTTAACATTAACAGACGAGAGCTTAAAGGCACTGGCAGAAAACTGTCCTAAGTTGGAGTCTGTCAGAATATCGTTTGCAGATGGTGAATTCCCTTCACTATCGTCATTTACTTTAGGTGGAATTCTGTATTTAATTAGAAGTTGCCCTGTTCGTGAACTTTCACTGGACCATGTTTATTCGTTCAACGATGATGGAATGGAGGATTTATGTTCAGCTTGCTGCCTTGAATCATTGGAACTCGTGAGATGTCAGGAGATAAGTGATGAAGGCCTACAACTTGTAGCTCAGTTTCCACGATTGTCTGTTTTGCGGCTTAGCAAGTGTTTGGGAGTCAGTGATGATGGATTCAAGCCACTGGTGGGATCAAACAAATTGGATTTACTGGTAGTGGAAGACTGCCCTCAGGTTTCTGAGAGAGGCATTCACAGGGTGGCAAGAAATGTGTCATTTAAGCAAGATTTGTCTTGGATGTACTGATCTTCTGTTGTTTGCTCACTCCACAGGATAACTTGATTTGGGATAGAGGAAAATTCATGTTGTCGCTGCATCAAAGAAAGTTATGCATCTGTTGTAGATTAGTAGCTTCACGCTGGTCAGAATTTACTGTAATATCGGTGTATTGTTGAATAACTAAAGCTCATACATGTACGGTTGTTTATTTGTTGATGCCATTAAGAGTTTCAAGGTGTATTTAAGTTGAGTGCCCAACAACGTGAGGATTTCGGTGTTGGGCATAACAATAAGTTCATTTGTACAAAGTATTTGTATTACAGATTCACAGTAGATGCTCATGTTAGTATTGTATGCAAGAATAATTGTAGTTGCTCGTAAGAAGTAAATTCGATTGATGCATAATGTTAACCATCTTAATAATCACATTTTCATTTCTTATACAAATCCTAGCTCATCGTTTGTTAATCACAATAATAATTGTAAAGACACAAATACATTACTCCATAGTTAACTAGCTAGAGTATACTCTACCCTCTACGAAATTTATTATATTGTCCGTAATACTTTGACATAGTACACTTTTCAATACACAATTTTAGCTACTCGTATCCATTCACATAAAGAAACGGAATTTCATAAAATATACATTGGGAATAATCTAATGATCTATCCCATTTTAAATTGTTGTTAATAGGAGATTATTCAAATACGGAAGGAGTATTAATTTTTCTAAAATCGACTTAAAAAAAAAAAAAAAAAAAAAAAAAAAAAAAAAAAAAAAAAAGGAGTACGACAAAGAGAACAAATCCAATAAAACCCATTTCCTTTCCAAAACCCTAAACTACAAGTCTACCACCCCATTTTTTCTTCTCTAAATCAACAATGACTTCTTCCCTACAATGCATCTTCGGCAACATCGCCGCCTCTTCCACCAATCTCCGCCGTCAATTCAACCTCCCACCCCTCGACTCCGGCCACCATAAACGCTTACACCTTCACTCATTCACACCTTCAAAATGCCTATACGTCGACGTTTTGGACCAGAAGAATGCTCCACAAATTGGCGCCAAAACAAAGGAGATAATGGAGGATGATGCAAAGGTGATTGTGGGTACTTATGCTAGAGCTCCGGTTGTTTTCTCCCATGGCAAAGGTTGTAAATTGTTCGATATTGAAGGGCAAGAGTATTTGGATCTTACTTCTGGGATTGCTGTTAATGCTCTTGGTCATTCTGACCCTGATTGGGTTCGGGCTGTTTCTGATCAAGCCCATTCTTTGGCCCATGTTAGCAACCTTTATTACTCTGTTCCTATGGTATGATTTTCTCTCTGATTTCTTCTTTATGTTGTTGTTATTATTAATTAAATTGTAATAGGAGAAATGGGTTTTGATTTTGGAGGTCATTGTTGTGTTATTTATGGGAAACTACATTATGTTGAGGTTTGTGTCTGTTTTAATGATGGTAAAGAGAAGTACTTGTATGGTATTGGACCGGAATCTCACACGGGTCAATTAGTTAGACACGTAAGTCTTCGGGTGGGGCCAGGGTTTATGTAAGAGGAGCTATTTTGTGTATCAATTTTGTGCATTGTAAAAATTGGATGTTATAGTTGTTGGGTATTGATATATGGGTAGAGTTTTGTCTCATGTTAGAAATAGATGGTTTTGGCTTAGTTTCTTCACTCATATTGATTAGTTGGAGGGAGAGTATGGAATGTCATTTGAGCTAGTAGTTGTTTAGTAGTTTAAAATCTTGGCTGATTGATGATTTGCTCATGAAATACAGTGTAAAATTATGTATGGTGTCAATTTGTGTCAAATTTTGTAATTGCTGGACTGCTATGTGATGGATGGATGTAGACGTAGAGGTGTCAGTGGCTTGATTGTTGTGTGCTATTCTTGTTCTTTCGCCTTTTTAACGGATTGTGATGAGAAGACTGTTGCAAATTGATTTCAGGTGGAGCTTGCAAAGCGTCTAGTTTCATCTTCGTTTGCTGATCGCGTATTCTTTACAAATTCTGGAACAGAAGCAAATGAAGCTGCCATTAAATTTGCTAGAAAGTTCCAGAGACATACACATCCTGATGCAAAAGACCCACCAACTGAGTTTATTGCGTTTAGTAATTGTTTCCATGGAAGAACAATTGGTACTCTCTCTTTGACTAGTAAAGAAAATTACAGATCTCCTTTTGAGCCACTCATGCCTGGAGTCACTTTTCTTGAATATGGTAATTCTGAGGCTGCAAGAAAACTTATATTGAGTGGGAAAGTAGCTGCTGTTTTTGTTGAACCCATTCAAGGTGAAGGGGGCATATACAGTGCCACCAAGGAGTTCTTACAGTCATTACGTGCTGCTTGTGATGAAGCTGGATCACTCTTGGTTTATGATGAGGTAAGAAATTACTGTGTTTTGGTTCATACTCATTATTACGGTTCAACCTCTATGACAGTTGAGCATGATGTGTTTCAGCATGGTATATATTTTCAATTTCTTACGACTGACCACTTGCTTTTTCCCGAGGACCTTTATTGATGTTTTCCCTTTAGTGTAAATTGAGTTAGATTAAATTATCCAAATTTTTCTTTGTGGCAAGCTGTTGAAATAGTGTGTGTTTGCCTGGCTAATCATGGCTTGTGAATGATTATCTCTAAGTTGGTCTAAGGGAAAAGGAAATGATGGTTCTAGTAAAAGGTTTGAGCAGGATATTACTATGGGTGTTTTATTATTTAGAAGAGGGCCCCTGTCCTTGTATGAGTTGCACTGTGACATCCGCAACCTCTTCTATAGCAAACTATGCCCTGCGCCAGCTTGGTATTGGGTTGAATGAAAAGGCGTGGCTGCATTCTAGAATTGAATGCTAGTCTAGACTTCTCCCAAACAAATACCCTGTAATACTTCCTGCATTTGATGAAAAGTTCATTCTGATCTTTCCCTGCTATATTACAACTTGGAGAGCTGATCCACATGCCTTGTGCCCTTGTCCCTACCCTAATCACCTGTATATTTATGTGAGTTAGTAATGTGAAGCATAGTGGTGCATCTTGAATAGGTTTAATCTGATATCCCAATATAGAGCATTAATAGAGATGGTCATGTAACTTATGTTCCTTTGCTTATGTATTTGTATTTATTTAAGGAATAAGGATGATTGTAAAAAGTACTTTTAACAAAACCTATATATGTTGTGGTTTGTGAAGGTTTGACTCGGGATAGCATGGACTCCACTTTTTCCATGCTGAATTAGAAAGAGTTGGAATAAGCCTGGGGAAGAGAGTGATGTTGAAGTAATCCTTCACGCCTCCACGATCACTCCATCCCTCTCGCCTACTAACTCTTAACCACAAAGTTGTTTTTTTACTACCGATGTGACTCACTGAACTCTTATGTATATGTCAATTACTAGGTGCAATGTGGTTTGGGCAGAACTGGTTACCTCTGGGCACATGAAGCTTATGGTGTATACCCTGATATTATGACACTTGCAAAGCCTCTTGCCGGAGGCTTGCCTATTGGAGCTGCGCTGGTTACAGAAAGAGTTTCATCGGCTATAAACCCTGGAGACCACGGAAGCACCTTTGCTGGTGGACCACTTGTGTGTCAAGCTGCACTTACTGTCCTAGATAAAATCTTGAGTCCTAGTTTTTTGGCTGGCGTATCAAAGAAAGGCCAGTACTTCAAAGAACTCTTGACAAAGAAATTGGGAGGAAACCGACATGTCAAAGAAGTCCGAGGGCAGGGTCTTATTCTTGGTATAGAATTAGATGTACCAGCTGGTCCTCTGGTTGATGCTTGTCGAAATTCAGGACTGTTAATTTTAACTGCTGGGAAAGGAAACATAGTGAGATTGGTTCCTCCACTTATCATATCAGAGCAGGAACTTGAAAAAAGCGCAGAGATTCTCCTTAAGTGTTTCCCTGCCTTGGATTGAAGCAGTCTATGTTGGATTAGTGTACGATAAATGTAAAATTTTCCTGTGACAACAATAGATCAGAAGCACATATTAGGCATAGTAGCTGATTAGCTGTAAATCAGGGATACGTTTTTTCTACTAAGCCTCTCTTTGAATTGTGCCATGGAATAATGTAGCAATTGTTTTTTGCAATGTATACTACTCGTTCAATGGGAACACTTATCTTACAAAGTACTCTGTTTGCTTGTTAAAATTTTAATACTAGTACTCCATAGTGATATCAATGTGAAAAAGAATGGATAAAATTACAAATACGGAGTATAAAATTATCTTTAAAGGGCTTCAAGTAACTAAAGACTGAGTAGGAGTATAAAAATTGTCAAGTTATTTTCAAATGGACCTTTTTACAATAAATATTAGAAAAATAACCTTTTAAAATTTTTTTAGTCAGGAGAAACCTATTTAAATTTTTATTTTTGTTCAAGATAGTCAAGTGGGACTTTCCGGCATTGACCACCCTTTTCCTCTCATGTGCGACTCACGTGACTCTTAAATCTCGAATCACACATACCCCATTTTCTTAATTCCTAATTGGAGGGAAAAGGGAATGGAATTAGGGGAAGGAGGGGTGTGATAAGAGATTTAAGAGTCATGTGAGTCATACAGGGAAAAGGGTGGTCAACTTCGAAAAATTGTTAGTCAACGTCGGAATGTCCCACTTGGCTGTCTTGAACAAAAAAATAATTTTAAACAGGTTTCTCTTGGCCAAAAAAAATTTAAAAGGTTTTTCTGAACAAAATGTTCACTTCAAAAGGTTCTTCCGAACAAATTTTCCTAAATATTAACATAAACCTGCCTAATACAAAAAACCATTCTACAAAATGGAAACCCTACAACAGTGAACAGTTCCGTTCTCAATTTCTTATACAGCCAAAATGTCGACCTTACCCCCACATAAAGCAAGGAAAAGACGATATTACCCCCTGATAGTCTGATACACACAAAGTGTATTCTCAGACCCATCATCACTTTAGACGGCTGCGCCGCTGCACCCTTTCTCTCTCCTCCATTGAAGCGTGTTCTGAGTTCTCCGTTAAAGCTGCTCTTTAGCTTTCTCTCCTCCATTGAAGCTTAGGTAATCATCGAATATCAGTTTCACATTCTAATGTTATTCGTTAGTTTATTCAATTTAGGGTTCTTCTGAGGTGAAATGGTTATTGAAGTTTAATCTGATGATTTTGTCATATTTGTTTTTTAAAGTGTTGAATTTATGACAGAACTATAAAATCGATATTCTCCCCTGTTTAATGGTGGCCTGGTTTTGATATTTGGTTAGGTAATTAGATATAAACCTGATTTTGCAGGGTTTTTTCTGGGTTTGTACCCAAGAAATGGGAAGCAACAAACTAGAAAAGAAGATGAATAAGATGAAGATCAAAAAGCGTTGTCGGGAGCTTCTTGAAAAGGGTTTGTAGCTCAAATTACTAGCCTTTTTACAACTATGAGCTCTTATTTTATGAACTGCAATATGGGGTATTGTAATTTGATCTTGTTAGTTATAAATGTGAAACTTTGATTCTATGTGTCAATGACGATCTTCGAGTTGTTATAGTTCTGTTCTGTGAGCATAATACATCGTTGGACTCGACATTTGTGCATATACATATGCAAAGTAGCTAGAATTTTGGTGTCAATTTGACTTGGTATCATGTTATTTCTCAAAAGAAACTAAGGGAAGAATGACTAATAATTGAAATTGTCTGTGCTCTGCTTATTTTCATGGGAAGAAGGGGAGGTGGGAAATGGTGCTTTTTTTCCTCGTTGTGAGTAGAAAGGGGGAAACATGTTGACGTTTAGAGTATGTAGAATTACAGGTAATTGGAAATATATGCTAATGTATCCTATCTATGGTTTTAGGTTTTTGTACTTCTAGAATATGGAGTATGAATGTATGATGTTGTAAAAGTCATTTATGATATGATGTTTTGTTACAAGGATTGGTTAAAAAAAAAGGCAATTCTGAGTACATAATCCTGAACTGAAATTGAGTAGTTTATTTCCTGGCATGAAAAGCTAGCTGAGTTAAGTTTAGTACTCATTATTTTTGGTAGTTGCAAGCTTTAGCGAGTCATTGGCAGCTCTAAAAAGGTCAAATCTTTGATGATTCTATTATACTTGATTCTTGATTGTATAACAGTAACTTCTGGATGCAAGGTGTGAGGGATGGAACATTGTATGTTTTGATTCCAAAACCTGCGAAAACTCTATGCATATAAAATATAAATGTAAACTTCATGTTATTGTCTTTTTTGTTCCCGATTCAAGCTATTCATTGATGCTAACATTCCAAATTTGGGGTTCATATATACATAGGATTACTGTTTCCCTGTATCAATTTCTAAATACTGCTCTCAAATTGATGGGCTATTTCTGCTGTTATAATAAATTGTTATCTTATGGAACCTCTTTTCAGGTGAAAGTGCAGGGAATGCATGTACTCTTGAACATGATGGCAAGTATCCTATTGTCAAGAAGAACAAGGATAATGTGGCTGGAGTAGATCAAAAAGCTTGTAAGTCCATATTACCTGCTCATTTATTTTCTACTGTGATATGATTAAAATCAGCAGTAGCGTATATTTCTTCCTTCTATATAAAGCTGTGGTACTTATTCCCCAAAGAAAATATTTTTAAGGAGCGTCACATACTATTTCTTTTTTCTCATTTTCAACGTGACTTTTTGTAGTCCTCAAGGCATGTTTTGAACCTCTTTTTTTTTTTCCTTACAGAGTAATTAGACTGTAATTTTATTTTGGGATGGTGGTTTGAAACTCAAGCATGCCAGCCATATTTTTCCACTTTTAAGTTTTTTAAATCAATACTCAATAGCAAGTTAGTCATATACTAATTAGTTTGATCTCTTAAAAATGAAATGGGACTGTTAAAACGGAATGGAGGGGGTAAATCTAATGTTGTTAAAAAGAATGGAATGATTGACTGGACTTTTAGAATGCTCTCCTGATAAAAGGAGTGTCTGAAGTAGATAAAAAGTACGAGGCATGTTATGATTGCTATCAATACAAAACTACATTAAATGGAAATCAGAGATATAATTGTGATTTGTTATTTTCTAAGCAAGCTTTCTCTATGCTGTAGATAAGTCAAAGAAAGCTCGCAAAAGCAAAATCAAGGATAATCATCCAAGTGAACCAAGCATAGTGGTGATTGAGAGACCAGATTCAGAGGTTTCCTGTAAAAATATAAAAGGTTTGCTGCTCTATGAATGGTTTCTCTCTTCTTTATCTGTTTTCTTAAAAATGCAGACCTGCTACTTCAGGTGAAAGGATAATTGATACTAGTTATTTGCATGTTTATTATCTCATTGGGCTGTTGAGAGATTTTGTTAATATGTTGACATAAATGCAATTTTTTTTGTTTAGGAAAGTCAAAAAAGGCTCATAAAAAGAAGATGGATGGTCAGTCAACAAATAAAAAAATCAAGTCAGTGAAGGAGGTGCAAGAAGTTGCAATGGATGATGTATATGAAATTTCTTCAGTAGATGAAGATGACTCCAAAGGGATGAAAAGTATGCAATAAATTTAGTGTTCCCAAATGAACGTGTGATCTTTTTTTTTTTGGTATTCATATAAATTTAGTTAGAAAACGGCACTAAATTTTGCTTTTAGGCCCCATTCTATTACCTTATTTTCGTTTATTTTAGGAAAAATAAGTTTATAGACAAGACAAGTTTAAGAAAAATTAGATAAGTTAAGCTCATATAAGATAATTTCAAACGAGTAAAATTCGGGTGAATAGAACATCCCTTCATCCTCTCAGCTTACAAATCTGAAGTTGTTGGGATTTTTATTTTCAATTCTTTCTGTGAGGTAACATTTTATGTTCTGGGGGTTTTTGCTCTGTGTCTTTTATGTCAGCATCTTCATTGTTTCTTAATTTACTCAGCAGAGTTCATGTTTAAGTTATTTGAACTTTAAATGCAACATTTAGCATGACCTTTTGGGTTAACATATGTCAATTATAGAGTGGATTAAGGAGTTTCACGTTAGGAGACCTGGATTGAAGGTGCTGCAAGAACAAATTGACAACTTTATAACTGCACATGAGGAGCAGGAGGAGCAGGTGATTTTTTTTCTTTCCCTCGTCATTACATTTATATTTACATATAAATGTGGTTCAGGCATTTATAGTTGTAACCTATTTGCCATCCTTTCCATGCTCATGTCTCTGCCTTTATAAGACATAATTGCTTCCCATTATAGATTCATACATTTGTTGCTGAAGCACGTACAAACAAGAAGTACAGGGTTACTGTTGCAATGTGCATGCTCTTGCAGACTTGCTTAACTGTAATCATTGGAAGTCCAGGACTAAGGGCAGATGTTTACAATTTTCTTAATTTTCTTGTTACTAGGGTGGCTAATGCACGCGATGCACGTGCCATAACTAGCAATATGCGGGAAGCTCTTTCGGTTTGGCCTCACATCACAACTTAAGTTGTTAATAGCATTAATGAGGGATAATATGTGAACAAATATTTTTAGGAGTATAAATGTCCACACACTATTATTCAGAGCTTAAAAAAAGAGCTAAAAACATGAATGGGGGCAATTGAGAAAATAAATATTTTAGAGGTTATAAACTTATAATTGTCCAAGCACTATTCATAAGACTTATCTCATACTTTTAAAAGGTAGGGATTGTTTTGGACACATTGTTGTCGGCATCATCCTTTGATGTGGAACAGCTGCCTTGTCATTTGTTTAGACATTCCCTGTACATCGTTATGTATTAAGTAAAAATTAACAAATTCAAGTCTACTTCCTAAATGATTTTGCCCTTGGTGATCATGTCTGAATTCTGTTTTCCAGTTTGGTGTGTGGCTACCCTCAAGTCCTTAACTACTTCCTTGATATGTTTATAACTGTCGTGGTTTTGTATCACAGGCAAAAAGAGAGAGAGAAGCCAAGCTTGCTGAGGAAGGATGGACTGTTGTTGTACACCGCAAGGGTGGGAAAAGAACAACTGATCCTGATAGTGGTGTTGCTGTTGGATCAGTAGCTGAGGCTGCTGTGCGTGATAAATTGGCCAAGAAAAAGAGTAAGGATGTTGGGCTAGATTTCTACCGATTCCAGAGGAAAGAAGCACACAGGAGTGGTATGATTACATTATATTTATGCTCTCAGATTTACTTTTTACTTGCAAAGTGGGATGTC